CAATAATACTCTCATCAGTGAGTGAGTCAGAAAGTTATGGGTTCAAACCCCACATCATTACTTTGAACTCACTGTCAAGCCAAACACCGCAATATAGTATGTGATCCATTTTATGAGAGAATGTTGGTCTGGTCACTAGAGTGAAACTCTTTCCTGTCCTCCACTTTCATCAGCTCGCACCTCCTAATTCAGGTGTCCAATCAGCAGTATGAAGCACTTTGAGACATCCTCCCAATGTGAAAAGCACTATATAACTGTAAAATATTACAATTGTATTGGGTCTTTGCCAGACTCCACTGGCTCCTTGTCGCAGAACAGATTGATTTCAAGATACTCACACTCACCTACAAATGGCTTCAGGCCTAAGCACCTCGCCAACCTGCTTACATCCCACTCCTCTATCCGCCCTTTCGTTAGTCCAGCTCGGGCATTCTGTGTGTCCCCAGGCCCCTTCGTTCCACCATCAGTGGTTGTGTGTTCAGCTTCTATGACCTGAACCTCTGGAATTTCCAACCTCAATCCCTTTGCCTTGCTCCTCCTGCCCCCCCATCACCAGTCTTCACCTGAAGACTTTCCTCTTTAGCAGTGCCTACACCACCCCTTTCTCAGTGTCAAGCTCCTCCATTGTTCAGTACTTTGAGACACTATCCCAAGTGCTATAGTGCTACTGTTGTTGCAGGAAGTAATATAATGTTGGTGTCATCCTTCACATAAAATTTAAAGTGAGGTCCCGTTTGCCAGTTCAGATGGTCGCTAATGATCCCAGGCATGATTCAAAAAAGAGAAGGGAGTTTCTCCCAGTGTCCTGGCTAACAACCCCCAGATAAAATTGGTCATCTCTGACATTTCATCTCTGACATTTCAACACTCCTCACATCTCTTTGCCTCTGCTCCGATCGCCTCATCATCCTGGGCGACTTTAACCTACACTTCACCCCCTCCTGCTCCATCTCCACAGACTTCTCTTCCCTGCTCTCCTCACTCAACCTCTCCTTACACATCAACTCCCCCACTCACAGTCACGGCCACCCACTCGATTTGGTGATCACCCGGGGCCTCAGTGTCTCGGATGTCACTATTACCGACAAGGCCATCTCTGACCACCACTTCATCTCCTTCACCACCTCCACCCCCCTCCCCACCTCCACCAGACCCACCACCATCTTCTACCGCCCTTGGAAGAAGTTACCCCCACAATCCCTAACCGATGCCTTGGAGTCCTCTGAACTCCTCTCCCTCTGGCCTTCAACCCTCACCGACCCCTCTTCTCCTCTCTCCCTCCTCCACAATACCCTCTCCTCCACACTCGATACTCTTGCCCCCATCACTTCCCGCACTGTCTCCTACTCCCGCTCCTCCCCCTGGTACACCACCCACCTCCGCTCACTGAAAAGCCAGGTGCGGGCTGCTGAACGCACCTGTGTCAAATCTGGCCTAACGGTCCACCGACAAATCTGGCTGGACCTCCTCAAAATTTACCGCTCCACTCTAGCCTCGGCCAAGTCGTCCTTCTACTCCAGGATAATCCTGGAGGCGAAGAACAACCCCAGGCTACTGTTTTCCACCACAACCCGACTCCTCCGTCCCCCCGCCACCCCGCGCAGGTCATCTCCTCCAACCTTCACTGCGAGGAGATGCTGGATTTCCTTGAATCCAAGATCAAGGGAATCCGCTCCGCGGTCACTTCCCCTCCAACTTCCACCCACCACCCACCCCTTCCCTCCCACACTCCGACTCCTACCCATCCTCCCCTACACACCTTCGTACCCGTTTCCCCACCCTCTGTCACTGAACTCATCCTATCCCTAAAACCAACCACCTGCTCCCTTGACCCCATCCCCACTCCACTCCTTATCTCCCAGCTCCACTTTCTTGCCCCACATATCACTGACATCATCAACCTGTCCCTCTCCTCTGGCTCTGTCCCCATTCCATTAAAAACTGCCATCATCACGCCCACCCTGAAAAAACCCTCCCTTGATGCGTCGCAGCTATCAAGCTACCGGCCCATCTCCAACCTCCCCTTTCTCTCCAAGGTCTTGGAAAGAGTTGTCGCCTCCCAACTGCGCTCTTTCCTTTCCACCCATTCTCTTTTCGAACCCCTTCAGTCAGGTTTCCGTGCTGCCCATAGCACAGAAACTGCCCTGGTCAAGGTCACCAATGATATCCTGACCATCTGTGACCAGGGCTCCCTCTGTCTCCTCGTCCTCCTCGACCTATCGGCAGCATTCGATACGGTCGACCACGCTATCCTACTCCACCGCTTGTCCTCCCACCTCAACCTTCAAGGCACTGTCCTTGAATGGTTTAGGTCGTACCTTTCTCACCGTCTTCATTTCGTCTCGACGAATGGCTTCTCCTCCACCCCCCGCACTGTCTCATGTGGTGTCCCTCAGGGCTCTGTCCTCGGTCCCCTCCTCTTCACCCTCTATATGCTCCCCCTTGGTGACATCATCCGCAGACATGGAGTTAACTTCCACATGTATGCGGATGACACCCAACTCTACCTTTCCTCCTCTACTCTCAACTCCACGACCACCGATGTCCTGACAGCCTGCCTGTCCGACATCGAGTCCTGGACGAGAGACAACTTTCTTCAGCTCAACGTGCGAAAAACCGAGGCCCTCCTGATTGGCTCACGTCAGCGCCTCCGCACCTCAGGCGCTGACACCATCAGCATCCAAGGCTGCACTCTCCACCTCTCAAAGCCAGTCAGGAACCTCGGCGTTTTGTTCGACCCTGAGCTGTCCTTTCTCCCTCACATCCGCACCACAACTGGCACCGCCTTCCATCACCTCCGGAACATCGCCAGACTACGGCACTACCTCACCCCTCACGCTGCTGAAACCCTGGTTCACGCCTTTGTCACCTCAAGGCTGGACTATGGGAACTCTCTCCTCGCCGGCCTTCCCGCCACCTCCCTCCACAAGCTGCAGGTCATTCAGAACTCTGCAGCTCGTGTACTGTCCCGCACCAGGCTTCGGGACCACATCACTCCCACCCTCGCTCGCCTCCACTGGCTCCCCATCCCCCAGAGGATTGATTTCAAGATCCTCATCCTCACCTACAAGGCCATTCACGGCCTTGCTCCCTCCTACCTCTCCAACCTACTATCCCCCTACCTACCTGCCCGTACCCTCCGTTCCTCTGGCTCCGGTCTGCTCCACGTCCCCCGCCCCAACCGCCCTACCATCGGTGGTCGGGCCTTCAGCCTCTCAGCCCCAGGCTCTGGAACTCCATCCCCCAGTGCCTTCGCCGCTTCCTCCCTTTCCTCCTTCAAGGCCGGTCTCAAAACCTTTCTCTTTGACCGAGCCTTCAGCTCCCCTCTCGACTCTCTTCCCCCTCCTCGCTCCCTCCCTTCCCTCCCCTTACCCTGACCATTTCCCCCCTCCTCGTTCCCTCCCTTCCCTCCCCTCACCCTGACCATTTCCCCCCTGCTCGGGTCATGACCCAACTGTGCAGCGCCTTGGGACGTCCTCCTGACGTGAAAGGCGCTTTATAAATGGAATCTTGTTGTTGTTGTTGTTGTCATTCACTTCAAGGCTGTTTGTGGGACATTGATATGCACAAATTGGCTGCCATGTTCATCTAAAAATACAGAGTCACTGCACTTCCCAGTAACTATTGTGAAGCACTTTGAGATGTCAACATATGTGAAAGACTCTGCATGAAATGAAAGGATTATTAATATCACTACTACTAATAAGATGAGATAAGCAAGTGGAACCCCCTGCGGAGAATTTGTACAGCAGACAAGACAAGTGTGAAACTCTCAGTTTCAGGTTTGGAGGTTTAAGCATTGTGATAATAATCCCTGCATTTGGCATAGAGCCTTTCACATCGACAGGACATCCCTAAGCACGTAGTGTAAAGTGGAGTGTCTGTGAGCAAGCGCAGCAATGAATGACACACTGATGGGTTTTTGTGTAAGCCAGATATGCAACTAACCACAAAAATCTCTTGAAATGAATCAGTAGATTAAAAGTCCTCAAGATGAACTAGAATCAACAGACTTGCACTGATTCCCCCGCCCCCCCACAGCTATTTGGTACACAAACTCATGTAATTTGATTTAATACACAGATTTGTTAAAAAAAAGAGAGGAAGGCTCATTCCTACCATCCCCACATACACAACTGTCATAATTGACACGAACGACAGAGCTTTCACAAGCAGATAAACCCGACAAACCAAGTAAAATATTAAACGACTAACGAGTCCCAACGTCTCACTGCGAAACGGTACCACCCGGGTGCCAAAGCACCGCATATATTATATATGATACTAATATAACATACACATATATTATATATGTGCGTGTATAATAATTATACTTACTGACAATTTTTAAAAAAAAACATACATATAAAGTAGGGGATCAGGTGCAGTCAGAGACCAATTGCATTATTATTCGCAGTTACAAGAGAGAAAATTGACATCCTCGGCGCTGCCGGAATGCAATGATGCCCATCCCCGCGGCCGGTACCAACGCACCGTTATCTGCCGCTGCGGAGCCCGGACCTGGAGTCCGCTGGACTTGGGAAAGGCAGATGGTGTCTCTCTCTCTCTCCCCCCCCCCCACACCCCGCCTCCCCCCCCGATTGCCTGCACCTCACACCGGGACCCCCGGTCACCTCAGTCCGGCGGCCAAATTGGGCCAGAATCAAAAAGCAACGACTCCCGGGGGCGGGGATCGGGTGCCGAGGACCGGCCCTGCGGCGCCCAGACCAGTCCCGGGCCCAAACCCATCGCCAGCGGTCGCCATTTTGACCGGTCTCTCCCGCCCCCCTCTCCCTCTGCCCCCCCCCGACACCCCCTTTCCCGGGGAGGTGGGGGCTCCCACCGATTCATTCACACAGCCGGGCCGGCCGGCCGGGTAGCGGGGCCCCCGCTCAGCCCGCGTTCATTCTCAGTCTCTGCGGGGCCTCGCCGGCTTCACCCCCCACCCCCCGAACCCCGCGCCGCCGCGCCGCGCCGCCCCGCCCCGCGGGCCCCGGTACCTGTACTGGGCGCCGCCATGCGCGAATCCGTAGTAGTTACTCGCCGCCATCTTGGCGTCTTCGCCCAACCGGCCGGGCACTGCGTCACGTGACAGGGAGAGAACACACACAACTTTATTAGCACAACACACAGTCCCCGTCACACACCGTCTGTATCCTCACGTACACACACACACACACACACCGTGTACACACACACACACACACACGCAGCACTGCACACGGATGTGCACACACAGCGGCTTGCGTTCTGCGCCGCTCCCTTCACTCACGCCAGGCGGCCTCGCCGAGCGCTCACAGTGTCGGAGCCCGATGCCGCATGTACGCCCATGTGGAGGTACACGCTTAGTACATACGACGACCACCAAACTACATGTGCACGGGCGCCCTTTCGCGTCAGAAGGATAAGGATGTCCCTCGAAGCTGGACAGTTCAGGGTTGGCACCGGAGCTGGGGCGTTGGAACAAAGAGGGGTGGAGGGCGGGCGGGCGGGCGGCGGGAAGCACGATCAGAGAGGAAGGTCATGACAGGCCTTGGAGGAGGCAACGGAAGAGGCCGAGGTGTCAGGGCAGAAAAGCTGAACCATCATGGGGTGGGGGGGCACCATTTGTAAGTCGGCCGCGTGTAGATATGGATATATATCCATACACACGCACAATCTCGTCCTTCAGATTCAACATTAAACCGAGGTCCCTTCTGCCTGTTCAGGTGGATGTAAAAGATCCCACAGCACAATTCAAAAAAATAAGGCACTTTCTCTTGCCCGGTGTCCTGGCCAAGAAATCCGCAAAATAAAATTGGCCACTCACTCCATGGCTGTTTATGGGACGTTGCTGTGCACAAACTGGCTTTCCGCGTTTTGCCCACAAGATACACAGTGACTACACTTTACAGTAAATCAATGACATAAAGCGCTAGATCAAGAGCAAGGATTATCCCTCCAACTCACTAATAGCCATTGTGAAGAGATTCATTGGCCAGGTGGTCAATTTTGCAATTTCTGGAAGAGGATGTGGGTAAGAAGACACAGAATATGTGAACAAAGTGATTTGAAATAAAATGTAAAGCAGAATGCAGTCTATATCCGAGTGTGTGGATCACTGGAAGGAGTTAAGTATAAAGGCTGAGATAAAAGCACACGGTGGCTGGATTTTTCCTGATAACTCATCACTCCAAAGGGAAAGGCCTCGATGATGAGTTATCAGGAATGGTGATTTCCTTAAAAAAATTTAATAAATTGGTCACTCAATCCACAACTGTTTGTGGGACACTGCTGTGCTCAATTGGCTGCCACGTTTCACCCACGAAATATACAGTCAATCTACAGTATATTCTGTGAAGTGCTTTGAGACGTCTCAAAGACGTGAAAAGGCGCTGTATCAAACACAAGGATTATTATATTATTATAATATACTGTATATATACACAAGTGTACGTACATATATACAGTAATGTAGACACATACATACACAAACTTGGATATCCCTCCCACACAGATATAAACTGTCACAGATATCTAGCCAGTACATGGGCTGAATGGACTCCCATCTGCGCTGTAAATTTCAATAATTCTATGGTTTTAGGTATAGGTGTCAGTCAGCCTGGCTCAGTGAGTAGCATAGTAGCATTCTCATCTCTGAGTTAAAAAAGTGATGAGTTTAAGCCCTTCCTCAAGATTTTAGGAACACAGCCTAGCGTGACACTCCAGTTCAGTGCTGGGGCATGCTACATTGTTTGAGGTACTGTCCTTCAGATAAATGTTTAACTGAGATCTCATCTATCTGTTCAAATGGACGTCAAAGATCCCATGACACCATTCAAAAAGAGAAGGAAGTTTCTTCCCTGTGGTCTGGCCAACAATCCCAGATAAAGCCTCAGCTTTCACCAGGAGATACATACTCCCACAATACAGTTAAAAGGGGAATGAGGAATAACTATTGTGGATCAAGATCAAAAAGGTAACTATACTAAAAAAGTTACTACTAAAAAATGAGAAATCACAGGACCCCAATGGGATTCATCTCAGATTGAGGGAAACGAGAGAGGAGGTAGTTGAGGTGTGGTGCCTCTTTTTAATAAAGGTGCCAGGGATAAGACAGATAGATAGGCCAGTTAGCCTTGTCAGTTGTGGGTAAGCTTTTGGAGGCAATAATATGGGACGAGGTTAGCAAATACTCAGATTAGATAATCAGGGACAGTCAGCATGGAGTAGTGAAGTGCAGATCATGTTTGACCTGAATTGAGGGAGTATTTGCAAATGTAGATCAGGGCAATGCTATGGATGTTGTTCATCTGGACTTCCAAAAGGATTTGATAACAAGCTGCACAGCACAAAGATTGATGAGGAAACTAAGGGCGCTTGGAATTGGTGGAAACGTGGCGATAATTGAAACTGACAATGCAAGTGACAAGGGCTATGAAAAAGACTTATAGTTTGCTGTGTTTCATACATAGCGGCACCAAGTATAAAAGTACAGAATTCATGCTAAATTTGCATAAATCATTGGTTAGGCCACAACTGGATTATTGCGTCAAGTTCTGGCACCTCACTTTAGGAAGGATGTTAAGGCTTTTGAGAGGTTTCAGAGTATGTTTACAACAATGATTCTGAGGATGAAGGCCTACAGTTATGAGGAGAGATTGGAGAAACTGGGTCTGATTTCCTTGGAAAAGAGAACTGTATAAACTTTACAGTGGGTATTGAGGGGAAATCTGACTGAGGTGTAAAAAATCATGAGAGATTTTGGTTAGGGTAAATAAAGAGAAATTATTTCCACTGATTGGGTAGTAACTAGGGGAAACAGATATAAGATTGCCAGAAGAAGAGTTAAAGGGAAAATTAGAAGATTTTTTTCACTCAAGAGAGTACTTGGGACATGGAACGCTCTGCCGAGTAGCCTGGTGGAGGCGGATTCCATTGTAGACTTCAACAGGGGAGTGGACAGGCATATGGGGAGTGGGATTGTAGCAGCATCCCTGCTCTGTGGGCTGGTGTAAGCTTGATAGGCCGAAATGCCTGCACTAGATAACTGTGCGGGACACTGCTGTGAGCAATTAGCTGCCGCATTTCACCCACAAAATAAGCAGTCAATTCACGTTATACATCTTCAAGACGCTTTGAGATGTCTTGGAAGACATGATAAGGTACCATATCAAATGCAAGGATTATTATTTCTACGTTTCTAAAAATGGTCATTCATGGCTTTTTCCAGTATATACAGTCTGTGCGTTATCAAATATACACCCCAAACATCTGGAACTCCCTCTATCCCTCCATAACATTCATTAATTCCTGCCTTAAAACTTAGCTCTTCAACCGTGCCTATGGTCACCTCCCCCTTCCCCCTTGCTCGGCATCCATCCCCATCATTGTGAAAACAAAAACAGAAGTCGCTAGGAACAGTCAGCAGGTCAGGCAACATCTATGGAGAAGCTCCTTGTGAAGCTCTTTGAGATGTTATCCTGTGTGCAGGGCGCTATATAAATGCAAGTTGTGCTTATTGTATACTATGTAATAATAATAATGCTTGCATTTGATATAGCGCCTTATATCTTTGAGACATCTTAAAGTGGTCACAGAATATACATACATACAAATTCATATACACACACTCATAAATTCAGATACCAACAATACACACACATGAATGACTCCCATAGAGATAAAGGAAGTAATCAGAACCATGTTAATGTATACAGAAAGCATCAATAGCCTTTTCTTAAAAAAAACTATTTAATTTATAGAATCATAGAATAATACAGCACAGAAGGAGGCCATTCAACCCATCATGTCTGTGCTGGCTCTTTGAAAAGAGCTTCCAAATCAATCTCACTCCCACGTTGTCTCCCCATAGCTCTGCAAACTTGTTCTCCCCAAATAATTATCTACTTCTCTCTTAAAAGCTGTTATCGAATCAGCTTCCACCACTCTTTCAGGCAATGTTCCAGATCCAATCCCTGCATCATTTTGAAAACTTCTATTAAGTCTCCTCTTAAGCTGCTCTGCTTCAAAGAGAATAACCCTCGCTTCTCTAGCCTCTCCTGATAACTGAAGGCCCTCATTCCTGGTACCATCCTGGTAAATCTCCTTTGCATCTTCTCCAATGCCTGGACATCCTTCCTAAAGTGTGGGGCCCAGAATTGAACACAGTCTATAACTGAGGCCTAAGCAGTGTTTTATAAAGGTTCATCAAAACTTCCTGACTTTTGTATTCTATGCCCCTATTTATAAAGCCTAGTATCCTGTATGCTTTTTAACAGCTTTATCTGCCTGTCCGGCCACCTTCAAACATTTACTTATATGTACCCCCAGGTCTTTCTGTTCCTTCACCCCCTTTAAGATTGTACTATCAGCTTATATTGCCGCTCCTCATTCTTCCTCACAAAATGCATCACTTCACATTTCTCCACATTGAACTTCATCTGCCACATGTCTACCCATTTTATCAGTTTGCTATGTCCATTGTCTGCTACTATCCTTCTCACTGTTTACCACTTTTCCTAGCTTAATATCATCTGAAAACTAGGAAATTGTACTTCCTATATCCAACTCCAAGTCATGTATATAGTTCAAAAACAGCAGTGGTCCCAATACTGATCCTTGGGGGACACCACTGCACACTTTCTTCCAGTCAGACTAACATTAAAACAGACCTCTATATATATAAGAAATATTTCAATGCGTTTCACAGAAAGCAATTAATTACAAATGAAGTGAATGTGGGATAAACGTGGGAGCTAATTTGCACTGTATCGCTAAACAGTTGGGTGACTAACCCATTGATTTGAATTTGAATGAAGGAACATAAACCAGTGATATACATTTAAATATAAATATGGAGAAAAACTCCCCTTTCTTTGAAATCACTGCCAAGAGAGGTGGGGAATTCTCTTAACACCCACCTGAATCATAAGAATGGGGGGAGATCTAAATTAATCATTCAACTCAAGATTATTCTGTAAAATAAACTTGTATTAATATAGAATATTATGCAGCAAACACAGTAAACAGTCTGCACCAGCAAGTCCCACAAATAATGAGTAGTCAACCTATAGTGATGTGAATTTCTAGAGTAAATTTGGATTAGGGATAAATATTGACCAGGTCATAATACTCATCAGAATTAAATTGCAATCTGTTAAGCATATTTCTCGTTGACAAAAAAATCAATTGAAGATACAGCTACAATAGTAATGTAATCTCACATTACACAGGACACTTCTTTTGATAAAACAGTAATGACTGTAAAGGGAAGAGTCCATTTCCTTTTTTTAAAAACCACAAAACTTAAACTAATTGCAAAAATGGCTTCAAATAATTGATAAATAATAATAATCCTTGCATTTGATGTAGTGCCTCACATAACTGAGACTTCTCAAAGAGCTTCATACAATATACTGTTCAAGTTCAAATCCCTGACTGTCCAGCACCTTGGAACGTTGTCCTGATGTGAAAGGCTATTGTTATATAGTGAATTAACTGTATTTTTTGTGGGTGAAATGTGGCAGCCAATTGCACACAGTAGTGTCCCACAAAGGTCATGGATTGAGTGTACAAAAAAATATTTTTTTTAAGGGTTCATTACCCCCGGAAAGTGATCTGTCAATCGACTAACAGTTGGGTTCCTACTTATTACTAGGTAAACAGAGGTGTGTGGAGAAAGGAAACTTGCCTAAGGTTTCGCCCTGCCCGGGAATCAAACCCAGGTCCTCTGAATCAAGATAAGCAACTATTAAAGGAGAAAAAAAGTATGTGTTCAAATATTACTGTAAAACTAGTATTTTAAATTCATAATCTCCATTTATTTGCAGAAACTCTTATCTAAATTCATAAACTACAGGAATACATTAAAATATTTTTATAGATGGTTAGACTCAACTGTGTACAAAGACTAACCTGCGGTTGCAATGTGATAATAATAATAATTCTTGCATTTGATATAGCGCTTTTCACGTCGGGAGGATGTCCCAAAGTGCTTCACAGAACACACTGTAAAGTGAATTGACTGTATATTTGTGGGCGAACGCGGCAGCCAATTGCGCACAGCAATGTCCCACAAACAGTCGTAGATTGAAAATGACCAATTTATTATTGGTTTTTGTTTTTTTGGAGGGATTATTAATGTGTGGAGTAAGGAAACTTGCCCAAGGTTTCGCGCTCTGCCTGGAATTGAACTCAGGTCTCTTGCTTACAAAGCGAATGCTCTAACCACTGAGCTACAGGACAAATTGAGCAGTTAATAAATGACAAAATAGATTAAATATTTGTTATGATGCAAACTCTTTGAAGTAATAGAAATGACAACATATTGAGGAATTACTCAGCCAATTGTCTCTATGCTGGTGCTAGCTCCTCCGCAAAAGTCACCTAATCCGATCCCATTCCGCAGCTATTTCACCTTAGTTCAGTTCATAGCACAGTCCCTTATGGAACAGAGGTTGAGTCAAGCCCCAAGTCAAGACTTAGAACTGATAGTTTATGCTGACATTCCAGTACAATGTCAGATGTGCTGTCATTCGAACGCGACCTTAAACCGAGAACGCAGATGGACGTTAAAGATCCTGGTACACTACTTGGAAAACGAAGTCAGTTTTTCTCGGTGTCCTGCCCATTTCTCCAGGAAAAGATAATAATTCATCTCACAGCTAGCTGTGTGGCTCTAATCATCTATTTGTCCACTTACAAAGCGAGCACAAGCACATGACAGCTATTACTGCACTCCAAGACACTACCCTCCTTGAAGGGCATGACATGAATGTTGTTTTGCCCCTGAATCCTTACAAAGATTTAGAAAGAATGCAAAGCACAGAAACAGGTCCCTCACAAAAACCAGTCTCTGCCAGTATTTATACTCCAAATGGCTAAAAAAATGGCCAAATTGCAGGTACACAGGTCACCACTAACAGCACTTCCTGCCCATTGTAATATTATATTATTATATGTTCATATATGTACAGAAAGCACTCCTCGTGTCACTTTGCAAAGCAGGGATGTTAGTGGCAACTATTTCATAACTTGGCCGTTGAGCTATTGGTCTGTGTTATAAAGTTACATGGTAGTGCACAAGCGGACTGACAGTGAGATTGGCCCAAAAACAACTTGCAATTATATAGTGCCCCTCACTCAGGGCAATTTAGGATGATTTCAGTATTAGATCATTCTAATTTTAATCATTCACTGCATGACTGTTTGTGGTACACTGAGATGTGTGATGTACACTGGCCATTGCAATTGCCTACAAGGCACTGCATAAGTTTGGTTTGGATAAAAAAGGCCGTTTGACCTATTTGATCTCTTCCTTCCAAATAATCCAATTTACTGTCTTCCCATTACAGCAATCTAACTTTTTCAAAAAAAAACTAGTTCAGGGTCATGAAGTATTTAAGTAAGTATCTTGAGACATTGACATGATAGGAGCTGCACCAAAAGCAAAGATTACGACAGGTGCCTGTTCACATAGGAGTTAATAATAATAATAATCCTTGCATTTGACATAGCGCTTTTCACGTCGGGAGGACGTCCCAAAGCGCTTCACAGAACACACTGTAAAGTGAATTGACTGTATATTTGTGGGCGAACGCAGCAGCCAATCGCTCACAGCAATGTCCCACAAACAGTCATAGAGTGAAAATGACCAATTTATTATTGTTTTTGGTTTTGGAGGGATTATTATTAGGCTCTGTGTGGAGTAAGGAAACTTGCCCAAGGTTTCGCCCTCTGTCTGGAATTGAACTCAGGTCTCTCACTTGCAAAGCGAGTGCTCTAACCACTGAGCTACAGGAGTTAACAACAACAGCTTGCACTTATATAGTGCCTTTCACGCTGGACGGCGTCTCTGAGCACTTAACGGTGGAGGAGCCCGATGCCGAGTCAGGGGAAAGAAGAGGAAGGTCTTCAAGAAAATGGGGAAAGGTGAAGGGATTGAGGGAGAGTCTTCCACAGCTTTGGGGGGTAGTGGTTGAAAGCACGGCCGCTGATGGTGATGCACAGGGTCTGGGGGACAAGGAGGAGGCCGGAGCCAGTCGAGCTGAGGCAGCAGCTAGTGGTGTAGAGAGCGAGCAGGTTGGAGAGATAGGGTGGGTGCCAAGGCACAAAGGGGTTTAAGTACAAGAGTGAAGCTGACAGGAAGCCAATGGAGTTGAAAGATCCAACAATACAATCCATAGAGAGAAGGGAATTTCTCCCAATGTGACGGCCGACAATTGCCCCCTACAATTAACACCCAGATAAAATTGCTCATTCACTTTTGTGGGGCATTTGTTGTGGAACAAACTGGCTGCTGGGTTCACCTACAAAACATACAGCGACTGCACAGTGCTCGGACCATTTAGATGTCTGAGACAGGAACCTTGTGCTGAAATGCAAAGGTTGTCATTTCTATTCTGACAATGAAACTAGATGGTAAATAACAGGAGTAATGAAATAATAATCCTTGCATTTGATATAGTGCCTTATCACATCGTTGAGACGTTTCAAAGCGCTTCACAGAATATATACACAGTATATACACAGAATGAATGGTGTATTGACTGTGTATTTTGTGGGTGATACATCAATATTTATTTAACAATAAATAATAAAATATTTAATAATGAAATGTCAATCAGCCGGAGCCGCTGCCAGACTTTCAGTGGCTGTTTCCAATACCTGAAAAAAGGGGAAGAAGGGGGGCAAGAGGTGAGGGGTTGGGGGGTGAGGGGTTGAAGGGGGAGGAGGGGGTGGCGAGGTGGACAATGGGGGGGGCAACGGGGGAGGAGGGGGGGCAACGGGGGGGGGGCAACAGAGGGCGAGGAGGAGGGGTTGGGGGTGGGCATAGGTGGAGGAGGAGGGGCCAGGGGGGAAGTGGAGGGGGCGAAGGGGGGAGGGGTGAGGACGAGGGGTGAGGAGAGGGGCGAGGAGATGGGGGCGAGGGGTGAGGAGGTGGAGGGGGAGAGGGGTGAGGAGGAGGGGGCGAGGAGATGGGGCGAGGGGTGAGGAGGAGGAGGGGGGAGGGAGATGGGGGGGAATGATCCGGGATAGGCTCCCGGTGAGCGGGAGCGGGGCCTGCACGGAGGCCAGGGGTAACGGGGAGAAGGGGCGGGCCCAGTGTCGGGCCTCGGCCTTTCCTTCAGCGGTGGCCGGGTGTGCGGTGTCCCGGGCGGGCGGGCGGACGGGGTGAAGGGCTACTCACCGTATGTGAAGGAGACGAGGGGACATATAGGAATCATCGGCTCCCACTCGGCCCGCGCGCCTCCAGCGCCTGCGCACTGCCGCCGGTCAACTGCGCCTGCGCAAAGGGCGGTCCCGCCTCCCAGCGCGCCAAATTTAAATCAACATTTGGTCCCGAAGCACGAGGTGCACTCCATTACACCCCCACCCCCACCACAACAACAACAACAACCCTCACACACACACACACCACCACAACAACCCTCACACACACCACCACAACAACAACCACCACAACAACCCTCACACACACACCACCACAACAACAACAACAACCACCACCACAACAACCCTCACACACACACCACCACAACAACAACCACCACCACAACAACAACAACAACAACCCTCACACACACACACCACCACAACAACAACCACCACCACCACAACAACCCTCACACACACACCACCACAACAACAACCACCACCACCACAACAACCCTCACACACACCACCACAACAACAACAACCACCACAACAACAACCACCACAACAACAACAACCCCACACACACACACCACCACCACAACAACAACCACCACAACAACAACAACCACAACAACAACAACATAACAACACCACCACAACAACAACCTACACCCCAACAACAACAACAACAACATAACAACACCACCACAACAACAACCTACACCACAACAACAACCCTCACACACAACAACAACAACAACCACCACAACAACAACCACCACCACCACAACAACCCTCACACACACCACCACAACAACCATCACAACAACAACCCTCACAAACACACACTACCACAACAACAACAACCACCACACACACCACAACAACAACCCTCACACCACCACCACAACAACAACCACCACCCACACACACCACAACAACAACAACACCCACCACCACCCACACACACCACAACAACAACCCACACACCACAACAACAACCCACACAACGGAACAACAACAACCCACACACCAGAATAACAACCAACAACGCCTTTCACATTGGAAGGATGTCCCAAAGTCAGGGATTTGAACCCGAGGTAGAGAGTTAATAATAGTAAAATAGTCATAATCATAATTCTTGAATTTGATATAATAATCCTTGTATTTGATATACCGCTTTAACATGTCTTCGAGACGTCTCAAAGCAAAGGCACCATGGGTTGGAGTTTGTAAGAATGGGGGCGGAAAGGCTGAATGCCCGACCACCGATGTTGGGGAAGGCCAAGTGGGGTCCATGGAGCAGGCCGGAGCCCGCTGAGCGGAGGAAGAGGACACGTTTGTATGCAGTTAGCAGGTCACAGGGGTAGGGAGAAGCAAGGTTGGGAAGGGCTTTGAAGGCAAGGACAAAGATTTTGAATTCTGGACTCTGAGGGATGGGGAGCCAGTGAAGCCAGTCGAGGCTGGGAATGATATGGTCATGGAGCTTGGTGCGGGAGAGGACACAAGCTTCAGGGGTCTGAATAATTTGCAACTTGTGGAAGGAAGAGTTAGGAAGACCAACAAGCAAGAAGTTAGCGTAGTTGAGCCTGGATGTGATGAATGTGTGGATGAGTATCTCGGCCTGAGGGGAGAGGCAGTGGTGGAGCCGGACAATGTTGCAGAGGTGGGGGACAACAGAATGGGTAATGTTGCAGATGTAGTGTAGAAAGGACAGTTGACGGTCAAACAAGACACCAAGTTTCCCCATGGGTGGTGATACTGTCAGGGATCAAGTGGTGGCAGTGCTGATGGGAGCCAAGCAGGAGGGTCTCTTGCTGACATTCAACTGGAGAAAGTTAGCTCTCATTCAGGACTTGATGACCGACAGACAATCCGTCATGACAGTAATCGTCTGGAGGCGAGGACACCAAATCCTTTTCTATATTGATTTAAGCCTGGCTCTTAAAAGAAACAAGGACATTTGCTGATAGTTTTCTCTGCTCTCTCTTTCTGCAGGCATTGCTTACACGGTCTTGCCATTGTTTCTCTCTCTCTCATTTCTCACAGAGAAACATTTCCAGAGAACGGTTGGTACCCTACAAGCTCCATTTATTCTTTGAACATTAATAAATCCTTCAATACAGTAGCCCTTTAAGTTTGTAAATGTCAAAGAGCGATTTAATTTGTGATTTGCGATCACAAGATTGTTTTGGACAAAGAAGGCTCTGTGGTTGTTTGATTTCATCTTTCCAGAACACCCGTCCTACCATCACCTCATCACAGCATCAAGCTGTTTTTAAACGAATCCCAGAGTTCTGACCTCGTCCTCCCTTCCTGGGAACCTGTTATCCTTTGGGTAAAGATATACTTCCTGGTATCCTTTGCAAATTACCTTTTGCAACTTCAAATTTGTGTTGCCTTGTTCTACTGTCTTGGTGAATCCTAAAGTATTATTCTAGAGTCTAGATTTCCAATTCCATTTGAATATTTACATACCTCTGATCAAGTGGTGGAGTTTTGCATTAGTTGACCAGTAAGGAGTGCATTCCAAAATCAAGAAGGGAGGTGACAAAGATGTGGATCGGGGTTTCAGCAGTACTAGGTGTGAGATGGGGCATATAATAATGTGGAGTCCTGTAGCTTAGTGGTTAGAGCACTCGACTCCCAAGTGACAGGATCTGGGTCAAACTTTAGGCAAGTTTCCTTACTTCATATGCCACTAGCAGTAAGTAGGAACCCGACTGTTAATCAATTGATGGATTGCTTTCTGGGGGTAATGATCCCTTAAAAAAAATGTTTTAACTCAATCCATGACCGTTTGTGGGACACTGCCATGCGCAATTGGTTGCCATGTTTCATCCACAAATATACAGTCATTTGCCTTCACATTATATTCTGCGAAGCGCTTTGTGATGTCTCGAAGACATGATAAGGCATTATATTAAATGCAAGGATTATTATTATATTATGATTATAATACAACAAAATTGTTATAATAATCCTTGCACTTTATATAGCGACATATTACATTGTCGAGACGTTTCAAAACGCTTCACAGAATTTTATACAATACAACTCTGCCACTACCACTTCCCTTGGCTTGATGAGACCTTACCCAAGCTTATATAAGCAAAACACAAAATACTGCAGATGCTGGAAATCCCCCAAAAAACAGTAGTCGCTGGGAAAGCAGAAGATGCGCCTGACTGCTGAGTGTTCCCAGAGACTTCTGTTTTTGATCCATGCTTATATCATGTCCAGGCTTTACTATGCTAACTCACTGCTCTTCCCTCCACAAGTTACCCACCAATCACAATTCTGTCACTCATGTCTTCTCCTGCACCGGGCTCCATGAGCCGATTAACCACATCCTCGCCTGGCTCCACTGGTGCCCCATCCCCCGGTGGATCGAGTTTGAGATCCTTGTTCTCACTTAAATCCCTCTGTGGTCTTGCCTCACCCTACCTCTTTGATCTTTTAAAACCCTATCTACCTATCCATTCCCTCCACTCAGCAGCTACTGGCCTGCTTCATTTCCCCCACCCTGCCCACTCCACTGTTAACAGTCGGGCCTTCAGCCTTTCTATCCCCATCCTCCATCTCAGAGTCCCTTCGCCTAGCCCCTTCCCTCGCCTCCCTTAAGGTCCATCTCTTTGACCACTGTTCGGTCATCTTCCCATCCTCACCCCTTGGCCCCCACTCCTCTCGAATCCCAAGCCCCAGCTCACGTAAACCCTCCACTGTTCAGTCCTTGTGACTTGAAAGGTCCTATATATACGTGCAATTTGTTAATGTATATATTTCACATCGGGTGAAATGTAGTGACTGTATTTCATAGCTATTTGTGAGACATTGCTGTGTATAAATTTCCTGCTGCATTCACCTACAAAATACACATTTACTTCAGTTTACAGTAAATCCTGTGAAGCGGTTTGATGTGAAACGCGCTATACCAAATGTAAGGATTGTTATTATATCAAATGAAAGGATTATCATTTAATAGAGTTTAGTAAAAGTCCAGATATGCTAATCGTATTTAATCCATCGAGTAGAATTTATTACAATAAAATAATCAGCTACATTTTTCTTCTATCAGGGAAACTGCTGACAATCACCACATCAGCACCAATCTCTTCCATTGTTTGTGCTGTGGGGCTCCACTTAGTGCAAACTCACAGAATTACACCAGAAAACAAAAATCATTATGATACGCTTTACGTTACCTCACAGTACCTTCATCATCGAAACACATCAAAGGCCCTCTCTCAGAGAATTGCTGTCAAGTGTAGCGACTGTGTATTTGTAGACAAATGCAGATTGGCCACACAACAAGGTACCACCAACGGCCTAAAACAAAGATTTTTCAATTGTTTATTCTGTATCAAACAACAGATAATAATAATAATCATTCTTCCGTTTGACATAGTGCCTTATCACATCGTTTACATGTCTCATAGGGCTTCACAGAATATTACTTTGTGATTCACTCAATGCTGTATATTGACACAGTTTCAGAAAAAAAACTAATATTTCTCTATGCAGACAGTCCCAGGGGTAACCTTCACAGACCTATTCTCCGATATAGATCATGGAGGCGACACACTGACTGAATTGAATTTTCTCAGACAAATAGTCTTGGGAAAGGGAAATGAAGAGAGAGAGAGAGAGAGAGAGAGATGGAAGGGAAAATGAAAGGATGTGAAAAAGGAGGTGACGAAGCCAATGAAAGGACAGGTTCATATTCATTTCTTCTGGAGATTGGATGATGCTTTCAGGCTTCATCACATTGTGCTACCAATCACAGAGGGAGGCTTCCTGGTTCTGTGCCAGACCAGTCGACGGTGCTCGCTCTCTATCTCTCGGCTTCTCCTTGGTATTCCTGGCGTGAGGAATTTAATCCTGAGATCGGCACAGGTTGATTAGAATGCTGGCGCTGGTCGACCCAGACTTGGTGCAGGAAGGCTGGTGGCGGGGGCAGTGACAGGAGAACTGGGCAAATAACACAGCCAGACTGTCAAGGGGATGTGTGTTCTGAAGAGCTTGTTAGTGATGGACAAAGGGATTGCTTCATATTAAGCCGACGGCACAGAGAACACACAAACGCGCACCGGAATCTGAGTAAGGATTTTTATTTTAAAGAAATACGCCGATATATTTGTGAAATCTTGTGGTGTTTGTGTGCTGGTTTGCAGCGTGCAATGTGGCGGGTGAACACGATGTCGGAGGCTGTTTTAGCACATTTTTTTTCTTATGCTGGTCCTGCGTTCATTGTCTCTGTGCAGCTGCTGAATATCCTTCTGAACGCCGGGGGTGGGGGGAGCAGAATGGGGAGCACGGAGGCCACACTACGCATGGAGAATGTGGAGCTGAAGGAGGAATGGCAGGATGAGGATTTCCCCAGGTTTGAGATGCACGCACGCGGATCATGATCAAAATCCTAAACAGAACCCTCTTATTTCCACAGCAATGGGATGCAAAACCAGAGGCGTTTAACTCATTCACTGCTCGCCTCTCCACCCCAGAACAAGGTCCTTTGTGGGAGCTGCTTCCTCCCATTTCAATGCTCCCCCTTCTTCTCCTGAACACACAGACTCATGCTCCATGGCCAGCCTCCATCACCCCAATTGTCTGTTCTTAATGAGTGTGCAGTGAGCCTTGGCCCTACCCTGAGCTCACCCCATTTCTACACTCACGCTCATTCATACACAAACACACAAGTGCACGCACACACACACACATATCTGCACTCTCTCACACACATGCACACACACACGCACATGCACTCATACACACATTTACCCCTACACAAACACACTGGCCCACATACACCTATGCACACACACACAAAGTATACACACAGACACACACATCCACACACACATGCACACACATATCAATCCACATGCATACACACACGCACACATACTGACCCACCCATACACGTGCGCACATAAGTCTGTGCACATATGAGCAAAAACAAACACACACATACATTCCAGCAAGGGGAGGGTCTCTGGATAGCATTCAGAAAGTCCGAATTCCACCTATTTTTGTGTGTAGGACAATTTTGCCTTAAAATTTTATATAGTGCAAAATTGCATTTAGTTTAAATCTATAGCCTCTCAGTCAGAAGGTTCAAGTCCCATATAGGGACCTCACAGTCGAGTTTGATACTCCAATTCAGTGCTGGGAGAGCGCTATATTGTCAGAGTTGCCATCCTTCAGATGAATCATTAAACTGAGGTTCCATCTGTGCCTATTCAAGTGGATGGTAAAGATCCTGTGGCACTACTCAAAAACAGAACCGAGTCTGACAATTCGTCAGATAAAACTATTCCTTTCATTTCTTCGTTCACCTACAAATACACAATTAGTAGGTTTTACAGTATAAACTTGTAAAGCGCTTTGAGATGTCATGACAACATGATAAGTTGCTACATCAAACGTAAGGATTATTATGAATTTGGAAGACAGTTTTCTGCAGTTCTTAAAAAGAAACTAACTTCTAAATTAATACTGAATTAAAATGTTCCCAGTTTGCTATCTTACATTTTAAGACAAACAGTCATTCATGCTAAGACTGGATGGAATTTCAGGCCTCAGAAGGACCCGCCCACTGATTTTCCCCTCCCAAGCCTGGGGTAGGCAGTTTTAGCTCTAACCGATGCCCTAACTCAGTATAGACCACAATTGGACTTGTGAGCAGGCCTAGCTCCACACTACAGCAACATACTGAGCTGTGCTGACATTTGTGTTCCGTCAGGAAGGCCGATAGAGTGAGAGAGAGGAATGAGATAAATCAGAGCGTAATGGTTGGGTAATGCCAAGCTTAGGTGGGGATGGGGAGGGAGAGATAAATGCCTATCGATAGTAGGAGGACGGTTTTCTGATGAGTCTTTAAATTAGTCTTACAATCCTTAGAGTAGAGCAGTTTCAAGATAATTTAATTTTCAATCCAATCTTTATGACTCTGGTGAATATTAATCAATTGGCAGATAGTTTTCCGGGAGTAATAATCCCTCCAGTCATTCAATCCTCCACTGTTTGTGGGACACTGGCTGTCACATTTCACCCAAAAAATACAGTCACGCCACTGTGAAGCGCTTGAAATATCTTGACGATGTGATAAGGTGCTGCATCAAATTCTGGTTATTATTATTATTGTTAGAGTAGAACAGTTCAAGAAGATTTAATGTTCGGTCTAATCTTTGTGACTCTTTATGGCGGATGTAATGGGATCGCCCACCCTGATGTCGCTATTTCAAACAGACGTGGAGTATTCATTCCTCCTCTTCGTCATCTCTAAATTCCAATTAATTGGCTGCTCATCTGTGCCAGGCCGTCGCTTGGCACAGATCAGCTGCCAGGTTTGCCCGTGTGACAAGGCTCACTCCGTTTCTGATTGGTTCCATTGTGTAACTTCTTGAAGTTGTAAAATATTTACTTTTAACGCGAAAGGAGCACCGCGGAAATGCGAGCTATCGTTTTCAGCCACTGTACCCCGAAACACTGGAACTCTCTCCATCAATCCCTCGGCCTTGTCCCTCCTTCCTCATCTTCAGCTCACACCTGAAGACCTTCCTCTTCAACCGTGCGTACGGTCACCTCCCCGAACCTCCAACCGCCCCCAACCCCTGGCTCGGGTCGGGCTCCACCACTGTTAAGCGTTATGACGCTACCCTGCGTGAGGGGCACTGTGTACAAGTAAGTTGTTGATGTTGTTGAAGCGAGCAGAGCAAATTAACGTTTATGCTTTTAATATGCTTTTTTTCCCACACGCACCCCTCAAACCCCTTTTTTTAATCTCCAATTAAATCCGAGGGGATGTAGCCCAGGGTTAAATGGAATAATTACAATTCCCCTCCTCCACCCATCCCCCGATAGATGATGAGTTGTTACTAACGAGATTGGATTGGAGAGGATCGGACTGAGCCTCAGCTCGTGTGGCAGTGAAGGGAGATCATTCCTGTTGGGACCCGGAGCATGTTTACTGAGGCTCACGGTGCCGTCTGTCTCCATGGCCATGACAGACTCATCCATTCCTGTCGGGAAGAGAGGGGGAAAGTGGTGTGTTTCCCAAATCACGTGACAACAGTCTCAAAATGGTGTCAGCACTGTCATCCCAGCTGTTTTATTGCACAACAATTTCATGGAAACGAATTCCCTGACTAATCGCTGCCAACAACAAAAAAAGGTTACAAGGCACAGACGCTAGATAAAAAGGTAAGGAGGGAAGACAATCAATTTCTACAGCAGCTGCAATGTACGTCTCCACCAAAAAGGAACTTTCTTTTTAATTTAAAACCCTTTTTTTTAGAAATTTAAATTTTATTTTATATTTACCAAAAAAAAGCAGAGATGTTTAGATCTTTAGAGACGACATGCAATGTATTTTTCAGAGATGCTGAGGACAGTGTTAGAGCTGGCACCTTATAAAATAATAATAATCCGAACATTTGATACGGAGCCTTTCACATCGGGAGGACATCTCAAATCGCTTCACCTTCACAGGATTTTACTGTAAGGTGTAGTGTCTGTGTGTGTTTCTAGATGGACGCCTGCCTACACCTTGAATGATCTAACACTTTTGATCATCTGAACCATCTCCGAGGGCCTGGCCTAATAAATTCATTTGAAGTATAGTGACTGTTGTGTAGGCAAACACAGTAACTCCTCTGCACAGTGACGTCCCACACACAGCCCGAGCGCAATGATTGATTGACCATTGGGTTCCCTCGGTGACTTTGCTTGAGGGAGAAATATCTGCAAGGGCTCCGGGAATACTGGTCAGACCATCAGAAATAATGGTCAGGACATCGGAAACAGTGGTAGGACAATGGGAATTGGTAGGATACCAGGAAAACTGGTCAGGATACTGGTAATACATTGTAGGGATATTGGGAAGACTGGTTGGGACATTGGAAGAGCGCTGGGAATATCATACAGGAGTACCTTTCAGGATACCAGGAATGCTAGTCAGGACACTGGGAATACTGAACAGAACACGGGACTTGTTGGACAGGATACCGGTAATAAAGGATATTAGCAATATCAGTTGAGATATCAGGAATATTGGTCAGGATACGTGAAAACAGGTCAGGACACTAAGAAAACCTGCAAGAATACTGGAATACTAGTTAGGATACCAGGAATATCAGCCAAGACAATGGGAATATTGTTCAGGACATCAGGGAAAATGGTCAGGATATGGGAACAATGTAGGACAATGAGAATTGGTAATAATACCAGGAAAACTGAGCCGGACATCAGGAATGTAAGATAAGATCCTGGGAACATTGGTTAGGACATTGGGAAGCGTGAGTGGGATGCTGGGAATATCATTCAAAATAACAGGAATACTGGCCAAAACACCAGGAATATTGGCTAGGACTACAAATACCTGGCAGGACATCGGAAATATCAGCCAGGACACCAGGAATGTCATCCAGGGCACTGGGAAAACTGGCCAGGACAGCAGCAACACTGACCAGAACACTGGGATTACTGATAAGGACACAGTGAATACTGGAAAGAACACCAGGAATATTGGTCAGGTCAGCAGGAATACTGCCCAGAACACTGGGATTTACTTATAAGGACATAAGAACATAAGAATTTGCTGGCGAAGGAAGACCAAGGTCCATCTAGTTCGCAATCCACCATCCTGGCAGTCGCTTGACATGTCGTGTCCCAAACTATATATTGTATCGTGACATATTATTTTCTAGCAGAAATCTATCGAATTTGTTCTTGAAACAGATGACATATTCTGCTTCCACTATCTCCATAGGGAGTCTATTCCATAAATTTACTGCTCGCTCACTGAAGTAGTGTTTCCACAGATTTTTTCCGAATTTATTCGCCTTCAATTGCAGGTCGTGTCCTCTGGTTCTACTGTTCAGTATATGATAAAAACAACTTATTATGGTCTCCATTATCTATTCCCTTCAGAATCTTAAAGAAGACCACAATCATATCACCCCTCAAACTTCTCTTCTCCAGTGTAAACCTGCCTAGTGTATATAATCGCTCCTGTAGTCCAGTCCCTCCATCACCTCAATCATGTTGGTTGCCCTCCACCGTATCCCCTCAATCGCTGCAATATCCTTTTTATATTGCGATGTCCCGAACTACACACAGTATTCTGAGTGCGGTCACATTAGTGATTCATAAAGTGGCTGGATAACCCCACTATTTTGGCTCAAAATTGCCCTTTTAATACAGTCCACAGGACACTGGTACTACTGGCCAAGAAACTGGCAAACTGGGAATATTGGTCAGGTCACCAGGAATACTGACCAGAACACCAATGTTATATATTCTAACACCAAGAATCCTGGCTATGACATTGGGAATAATAGTCAGGACACTAGGAATACTGGGCAGGAAATCGGAAATACCAGGAATATTAGGCAGGACATTGAGAATCTTGGTCAGAACAACTCGAATATTAGGTAGAACAATGGGAATACCCTGCTCTCTTGAATGTTGCATTCAGTGGGATTTATACAGTGAGCTAATGATTTTAAACTCAGCCTCCAGAAATCCTGGGAATAGCAATCACTGCTCCCTCACCACTACACTAAGGCTCTCCACGTCTCCCAGTTATTCTTGTTATATCGAACACCACGTCACACCCAATCTACAGTCACGTAATTAGAGGAGCCTCAGCCCTTGTGTCTGTTTATAGCTGACCGTAAAACGCTCAAGATCTGAGCGTCTGTGAGTGCTATAAACTGCTAGTACCTATTGTAGTGCTGTCATAAATTAATATGTTTTTGCTATTTTTTCTCCCTTTTGCTTCTGAAGGTGTGGCTTACGCATGGGAGATGGTTTCGCTGGCCCTGTGTGGCCTTGGGACTGTTCTTCAGTCTGCGCCCTGGGGTCAGTCAAAGACTGACCTTAATGAAACAGGCACGGTTCCATTATGTCTTTACAGACGGGGAACCCCAATTGTAAAGATGTTGCGAACAAGGACATTGTTTTCGAGGGTTGGTGCAGCTGGGAATTTGACCACAAAGGTGTGATGGTGTTGTGTGTGTGTGTGGGGGGGGAGGGGGGTGTGTGGGCTGGGTACCACGATGATTACCCCTCCCTGACCTCGGCGTTCCAATATTTGGTACGGACCCATTGCACTCAGACTGCTCCAGGGTGAAGTCACTCCCTGGGGTAATGATATCACTTCCTTGTGGTAATGTTCTGGTTGGGAGTCCGTCCGTGTAACATTCTCCTTTCTGTCTCAGGCCGATCCCTGAGGAGGCAGCAATGAACACCATTGGAAGTTTAACAGCTCCAGAAAACAGAGCTCGTGAGTTTCAGGACTTTGGGATCATTCAAGTGAATGTTAATGTTGAGAGTTTAAACGCTTTCCTATTTCAGGCGTCCACACCCCAAGTCGCAGGTCAGCTACAGCACAGGTTAGAGACAGAGTATATCTCCCTCTACACTGTCTGTCCACACTCCCAGCTCAGGGTCACCACAGGTTATAGACAGAGTACATGTTGTCACAGAAGCCAAATGGCAGTGCTTTGTGTCATCTCATTGAGACCAGTAGGTTCAAGTCTTCCATGTGTTACTACGCATGAATTAAAAATGCCATTAGTATGTCTTATTATCGTGGTCAGATTGTCTGACAAATTCAACATCTTTGTCCTCACTTTCGAATACCTCCACCAACACACCCCACCCTCTATCACTGTGACCTCCTATAACCTACACACCTTCACATGCTTTATATCCTCAGCCTGATCTGCCTCACCATCGGTGTGTGAGATTTCAGCCATTCTGCCCCCTCTCTCTGGAACTCCATTCCAAAGATTCGTTACCTTGTTCCATCTTTCTGCCTTAAGCCCTTATCTTCCTATCTTTCGACTGTGCTTTTGGTCAATTCCTCCCCACTCCCCCTCACTCCACCTTCTCAGCTCCCCCCACTCTCCCCCAGCTTCGGATCACAGTCAGTTGTGTGAAGCACTTTGAGAAGTCTCTCTCTTTCCATTTCTTCTCTCTCTCTATCTTTCTCTCTCTCTGTATCTCTCTCCCTCTGCCTAGTGCCTCCGAACACACTCAATATCAACGGAGCTTACGCAAAGCGTAAAACACTTGTTGCTCCTGAAATTAACATCTCCCTGGATCAGAGCGAGGGCTCCATCCTATCGGATGACTACCTGGACACGCCCGATGATCTGGACATTAATGTGGATGATCTGGAGACCCCGGAGGAGACAGATTCCCTGGAATATTTGGGAAATGCAAACGAGTTAGAATGGGAAGGTAGGATTTGTGCTTCACTGCGTTCTTTAATGTTATGGCTGCAAGTGCAGATGTTGAGTGACATTAGAACGGTTACATGCTGAGCTCCCACCCCCCACCCCCGCACCATCCTGCTGTGTCTAGAGACATTTGGGCTGAAATTCCGTGTTGATGTTCCATGTAGTGATTTTGGCAACGGAAAAGCCATAGAGAGCAGGAATCTCCCAGGCTCTAGTGCTAGTATCTGCTGAGATACCTGAATTCAGCCAGGACAGCAGCTAAAACAACAGTTAAGGTGTTCCAGAGACAGGGTTCCCAATGGCAAGCTATGCGGTTTTAGCTGGTTAGACTCCAGCAGTTACCCCCAACGCACACTCTGGCGTCCCCCCAAGCCTTGGCTCTTGCCAACCTAGGCCTAATACTTTCGGTAATGAGGTAAGCAGGATACGTCCCTCCAGGGAGAGAGTGCACAATCTATTCAAGTAAATATCTCAAGAATTACCATGTATTTTATTATTATGATGCAAGGAATTCTCAGTTTGGTTTGGATACTCTGAACTATGTTGATAGGTCTCCGCATGTGTCAGCCACTTGGCTGACCAACAAGCCCAGTTAGCATCAGGGCTAAGCAGGGGGCAAATCAGACAATGTTCCAGCTCCTGATCGCTATCCAGTGACTCCTGTTGAAAAATGGATACTGGATGAGGACTGGATGAGGTTTGGGAATGATTTGACTCGGGCCAGTTGCCGGTTGTAGACCATTCAGCTGGATTTCGGTGTTGGTGTTCCGTGTAGTAGCTGTGGCGAATGTCAGTTTGGCTCGGAATTGGCTTTGTGGCTTCGATTTGGCTTAGATTTCCAGATCCTCTCACTTGTTTTAAAATCACTTAATTCCCTCGTACTTCCCTACCTCTCTGCTCCCCCCACTCCACCAACCTCTACCTCCACTCGACTGACGGCCACCTGTTCGCCCTCTTCCCCTCCGCTCCACAATCAGTGACCGTGACTTCAACAGCTACACCCCGAAAATCTGGAACTCTCTCCTCAATCCCTCTGCCTTGTTCCCTCACTCCCACCTTCAAATCCCACCTAAAGACCTTCCTTTTTGATCTCCTCACCCCCCCCCCCCCACCTCTCTCCCTTGGCTCGGGATCAGACTCCACCACTGTCAAATGCTCCGGGACGCTACCACACGTGAAGAGCACTGTATAAATTGTTGTTGTTGTGGCTCGGGATTAGCTGCCTGGATGCTCCTGGCCTGTAAGGGTTAAGGTTTGGGATTCCCTCTCCTCAGATGACACGCCGGTCGCCAGTGCCAGGAACTCACCCAGTGCCAAAGGAGGGTCCATGGAGGACGGGGCGGGGGATGACAGTGCTGCCACTAATGGCCGACTGTGGAGAACCATCATCATCGGAGAGCAGGAGCATCGCATTGACATGAAGATCATCCGGCCCTACATGAAGGTCATCACACACGGAGGTGAGGAGCTCCTCCTGTTTCTCCAGTGGGGGTGGGGGGGGAGAAGGCTAGCGTTAGGCAGAGGGAGAGTCATACAACAACTTGCATTCACACAGCACCTTCATTTAAGGATACGGATCACTTTACAATGGCTGATAGACCCTGAGCAAGGGAGAAAGGGAAATGCAGGTGTTTTTGCAGACAAAGGAGAGTGGAAATCTGGAACTCTCTCCCTCCCCCAAAAGTGTGGATTATGGCTGGATCCAATCAAAATTTCAAGACTAACATGAATAGATATTTGTTAGGTCAGAGTATCAAGGGATATGAGGCAAAGGTGGGTATTTGGAGTTGAGGTACAGATCAGCCACGATCGAATAGAATGGCGGAACAGGCTCAAGGGGCTCCTATGTTGTAGGTTGCAAGGTGCGATTTAAAGATGGATAGAGAAGGGGTGAGCGAGCTGGAGGGGTAGAGGCAGGGAGAAGACCACAGGAAGGGACATCACAGGCTCGTCCCCTTTTCATTGGCAATCTCAGTGGCTTTCCTCTGCCACCCAGTGAGAATCAGCATGAGAACGCTTCTAAACACTCTGTATCACAGGCCGTGTGAAAGGGCTCTTGTCAACTCTGCAACAACAACAAGAAGATTACATTTGTATAGCGACTTTCAAGTCGGGAGGACGTCCCAAGGCGCTGGACAGAGTACAGCATTTCAGACCCGAGCTGGGGTTGGGGGGTACGGGAGGGGAGGGGAAGGGGAGTGGCTGATGGCGCGGTCGAAGAGGAGGGTCTTGAGTTGGGACTTGAAAGAGGCTAAGGAGGGGGCGAGGCGGAGTGACTGGGGGATGGAATTCCAGAGATTGGGGGCAGAGAGGCTGAAGGCTCTCCCGCCAATGGTGGGGCAGATGGGTCGGGGGACATGGAGCAGCCAGAGCCGGCTGAGCGGAGGGGTTGGTAGGGGATTAGGAGGTCGCAAAACTCTAGTAGCTTGTATAGAACTCTCAGGCCTTTCTGTGCCTGGGTTTGTCCCAGTCCTTAAAAGCTGCGAGAAACACTTTGATCCAGTCCTAGTTTGAAAACTGTTTTTTTCTTAAGGGATCCCGGAAAACCATATCCCAAATTCAGGCTGAGTTTGAGAATTTTCCCCCAGTTCCACACCATCTGAAATTTCAAGATAAAATGGCCTCACAGCCTGAGACTGTGTGAAAGTGAGTGTGTGTCTGGGTACACGATGTTTAACACTGGTCTCTTGTCTCGGAGGTTACTATGGAGAGGGACTTAACGCCATCATTGTCTTCGCGGCTTGCCACCTGCCTGACAGCGGCTGTGCGGATTACACCTATATCATGGAGAACCTTTTCCTGTAAGTGATGAGTGATGATCTGCCTCGCGCTCTGCTTATAACCAACCAGTTATTAGAGGGGAGGAGGGAGGAAGCAGGGAGGTGGGGCAGGAGGTAAGTGGGGTGTCCCTTGAGCTTAGCTAACTCCAAGGCAACGTACTTGGCAACAAAATGTTGGAATCAAGCTCACCCTCTGTGCCGGTGTCTAGTCCAGTTCCTGAGCCAGGAGGGTCCACAGTATTCCAGGGCACTGCCGAAGAAAGCATAGCCCAGCCTGGCTCAGAAGAGCAGTCCAGTCACTGGGGGCATTCTTTCCATTCAGCTCCTGTTAACCCAAGAGTAAGCCAAGAGTAGGGTGATGTGGGCTGGACAAGCAGAGGGAATCTTGGAGTCCTGAAGCGTAATGGTTAGCCCGCTCACCTCGCAAGCAAGAGGACCCAAGTTCAATTCCTGGGCCATATCAAGGTGCTATATCAATGCAAGGATTATTATTATTATTATTTATTGTTGTAAATGCTGAGGAAACAGAGGGACTCTGGAGCCGGGTGGAATCTGCCATGTGACCTTCGTCGCCCTCTTGTTCCTCAGCTATGTGATCAGTATCCTGGAGTTGCTGGTGGCCGAGGACTACATGATTGTGTACCTGAACGGGGCCACACCTCGCCGCAGGATGCCTGGCCTGGGCTGGCTGAAGAAGTGTTACCAGATGATTGACAGAAGGTGGGTGCGAGTCCAGAGCAACCGCGCTCATCAGGGATGTCAGTGTGTTAAATCGAGGCCCTGTCCTAGGTTTGTCCGTGCCTGTCCAGGTGGACGTCAAAGTTCCCACGACACTACCGTGAAACGGAAAATAGTTTCTCTCTCCCGGTGTCCTGGTCGACATTCCCTCGGATCAATTGGTCATTCATCTCACGTCTGCTCATGGGACGTTGCTGTGTGCAAATTGCCTGTCGTGTTTGCCTGCAAATGGCACAGTCACTACACTTTACAGAACTTTACAGTTTTACACTTTACAGCTGTGAAGCACTTTGAAATGACGTGAAAGCTCCAACACCAAATGTAAGGATGATATAAGACAGATAATTCCCTTTGAAGTGCTTTGAGACGCTAAAATGTTACAGCCACTAATGAAATAAATAATATATCAAATATGAGGGTTATTATTCGTTCAGTCACCTCCTCCTCCCTCACAGCAGATTCCCCACAAGGGGAGGGGAGAAGGTCTTGAAAATGGCAACACATTGAGTAGTACTAGTTGAGCACAGGAGCATCAGCACAAACAGATCATTGAGTTATGAAGTTGGCAGCCTTGTTCGAGTTGGTTACACTCTTGTCTCCGACTCAGAAGGTTGTGGGTTCAAACCTCACGGCGGGACTTGAACTCATATAGTCTCTGCTCGCGCTCTAATACAGTGCTGGTGTGTTGTACTGTCAGAGATGCCGTCCCTCGGGTGAGATGTTAAACAGTGGCCCCACCTGTGCTTGTTCAGGTGTTTCTCCTGGTGTCCTGGCCAACAATACTCCCCGCATAAACAATCGAGCTGCCCAATTCGCCAACAAAATACACAGTCACTACACGCACAGTAAATCCTGCGAGGCACTTTGAGACGTCCTCTCAACGTGAAAAAAATAGTAATAATAATCATTACATTTGATACAGTGACTTTCACGTAGGGAGGTCGTCTCAGTGCGCTTCAGAGGATTTTACTGTAAACTGTAAGTGATTGTAATTTGTGGGTGACATCAGATGCAAGGATGATTCCTAGTACTGTTCAATAAACTCATTTGTTTGTCTCTTTCTACAGACTGAGGAAGAATTTAAAGTCATTAATAATTGTCCATCCCTCCTGGTTTATTAGGACAGTGTTGGCAATCTCCAGGCCTTTCATCAGGTAACTGTCAGGTGCTGAAACATCACACTCTCACCCTCAGGGCTAGCTTCCTGCATACTGCAATGTTTGAAGTGAAATAATAAATTATCTTTTAATAACTTGTTTACCTGTTTGTAGGGTTTCTTCTGTAACAGAGCTTCCTGTTGCTCCTGTTACAGGTGTCAGTCACTCACACCTTTGGATCAGTTGGTAGTGGATTCAAACCCCACATCAGGATTGTGAATTGTGAATACTCACCCCTCAGGCGCTGAAACTCTTGTTCATGCCTTCATCAACTCCAGGCTCAACTATGCAAACGTCCTGCTTGTCGGCCTTCCCAACTCCTCCCTCAGCTGCAGATAATCCAGATCTCTGCAGCCCGTGTCCTCTCCCGCAACAAACTCCGTGACCTCATCTCCCCCATTCTCGCCCGACTCCATTGGCTCCCTATCCTTCAGAGGATCCAGTTCAAGATCCTGGTCCTCACATACAAAGCCCTCTATGGCCTCGCCCCACCCAACCTCTGTGACCTCCTAACCCCCTACCAATCCGCCCGTTCCCTCGGCTCTGGCTGCTCAACGTCCCCCGACCCACCCGCCCCACCATTGGCGGGAGAGCCTTCAGCCACTCTGCCCCCAATCTCTGAAATTCAATCCCCCAGTCACTCCGCCTCACCCCCTCCTTAGCCTCCTTCAAGTCCCACCTCAAGACCCTCCTCTTCGACCATACCATCGGCCACCCCCCTTCCCCTCCCCTCCCTTCCCCCCCCCCCGACCCCAGCTCGGGTCTGAAATGCTGTACACTGTCCAGCGCATTAGGACATCCTCCCGACGTGAAAGGCGCTATACAAATGTAATCTTGTTGTTGTTATTGTTGTTGTTGTGAATCCAGGCTAATGCACCTGTGAGGTGCTGGGGGGCAAGCATTGCACTGTCAGAGATGTGTTCCTACAGATGAGATGATAACCCGAGGTCCTGTCGGTGCCAGCTCAGGTGGATCCTAAAGATCCAATGGTACTTTTTGTGGCGAGAAAGGAAGTTACTCCTAGTGTTTTGAACGCCTCCTGGCTGTTTTGTAGGAAGCCGCTGTGTGCAAACTGGCTGCTGCGTTTGCCTACAATACACAGGAAATCCTTGTGAAGTGCTTTGAGATGTTTTGACGTTATAGGCGCTGTATCGAATGTAAGCATGGAAGTAAACATAACTTCCCGCATTCCCACTCTCTCATCACCGATATCAATCCCACATCCCATCACATTCCTCAGTCCCTTCCTTCTCTTGGCAGAAACACAGCCAGTTGCCTCCTAACCTCATTGACACCATCTCGGCTACAGTGTCCTTTCCTGGTAACCTATTTCACATTTTGTGAAAAAAAAGTTACTCCAGTCTTCCTTCTAACTTTTAACCCAGGTCCCTGGCATTTGTACCTCTCACCGCAGCTGGCCTGAACCAATCTTGCTGATCATGATCGGAGGTCTCTCATTCAGCCATTACGTCCTGAAACTCTGGAACACTCTCCCTCAATGCCTCCGCCTTGCCCCCTCTCTCCCCTTTTTCAAGTCCTACCTGAAAACTCCTTTTCGACCGTGCTTACGGCCCCCTCCCTCCTCCCCCAGCTTATAGTTAGGCTCCACCACTGTTAAGCGCTCTGAGACCCATGGAGGGTGCTACATAAGTGTAAGTCATTGTTGTTACCATAGGAACAGCTGGACGAAGAAAGTCCATCTAGTTCTACGCCTTCTACCATCCTGCGTAGTCACCTGCTACAGTAATGGAGATGATCCTCTGCGTTAGCTTGAAAACCTCTCTCAGGACGTCTCCAACTCTCTTCTCTTTCAAAGATCACAAAATCCGTCAAGTCAGAAACTTATTGTCCCTCGTCCTGCCCCAGGTGTCAGCGGAGACACCCACAGCCAGCCCGTGCCTGTGGGAGAGCGGTGTGGGGAGGGGGGGGGGAGCTGGGGGCAGAAGAAAGCTTTCTCTGTGAACTGAAGTTCCTGAGCTTTGGTTGGTCAGACCCGCAGTTGGGTTCAGTCGCGTGTTTGTATTTCTTACCCCGTTACATGAACTCCCTCCTTCTTTCTCTTTCAGCTTTAAGTTCATCAGTAAAATCCAGTACGCTTACAGCCTGTCGGAATTGGAGCAGATCATTCCCATGGAGCATGCTCAGATCCCAGAGTGCGTCTTACAGTGAGTATCGTACCCAGGGTTTAGCTGCAGAGCCAATCCAGGTGGATGTTAAAGACCCTGCAACACTATTGGAAAAGAGAAGTTTCTCCCAATGTCAGGGGTCAGTTTCTCCCAATGTCAGGGGTCCCTTGAGCCAGGGACAAGACAGGGAGTGTTGAGCCAGGTTCCCGCCTGTTCCTGGTGCAGTGACCTCTCCCCCTTCCCGGTGTGAAGATATCAGACTTGGCAAGGATCGAGGCTTGGCTGTAATCTCCCCCACCCCCCCACCCCCTCCCTCCGGGATGACTAACCTGCAAACACTCACTGTGTGAGCTGGTGTATAAAGAATGACCATGTTACGTGGCTCCGGACAGCAGCCCAGGCTGCCAACCATACTCCTCCTCTCAGTTTCCTTTCCACTTGGTAAAATTCCTACCGGCTGACGTACCCAACTAGGGATGGATCCCTGCCCTAGGTTTCTGTGAGTCCGGGCACTGTGCATTGTCGGAGGTGCTGTCCTTCGGAGGATAACCCGAGGTCCTAACTATGCCTGTTCCGCTGGTCATTAAAGATCCCCATGGACTATTTGAAAAGAGAAGGGAGTTTCTCTTTCCCAATGTCATGGCCAACAATCTCACAGATAAAAATTGTTTGCTCATTTTGTGGTTATTTGTGGGACAAATTGGCTACCACCTTCACCTGAATTTTCAGTCACCAGTAATAATATGATATAATGCCTTATCATATCATTGAGACGTCTCAAAGTGCTTCACAGGATATACTGTGAAGTGGTTTTGACTGTTTTTTGTGGGCGAAAATCATTACTTTGCAGTAATGATGTAATAGGATGCTACATCAAATGTAAGAATTATTATCTGCTGTTCCATCAGATCAGCTGTTCTCCCTGAAACATTCACCCGCCTTTCTCTGCTGTCAGTTACCGGTTATCTTTTGATTTTGTTTTTCTGATACCCTTAATTTTTATTTATTTCCATAATGGATTTTGGCAGATTTGGTCTTATTGTTTCCTTCTCCTGTTCCTCTGCCTTAGATTTGAAGAGGAAAGAATCAAAGCAAAGAAAGACAGGTAAGATATGATCTATCCTCCCAAGGTGAAAGGCGCTGTATAAGTACAATTTGTTGTTGTTGTTATTGTTGTCAAGGCTGCTTCTATTGAAATCCATCAACACTTTCAAAAAACAAAGTTTTCTGATGGAGAGCACAGTTGGAGATTAATAATAATAATAATCCTTGCATTTGATATCGCGCCTAATAACATCTTCGAGACGTCTCAAACCGCTTCACAGAATATGCTGTAAAGTGAATTGACACTATATTTTATGGGTTATAGGGATAGGGAAAGGCTGAGATGAACAAATAGTCCATGAAAATGTTTTCCAGACTGTGAGGCACAGGGGGAGAGGGATATTTCCTCTGGAAGGAAGGAGCTGGGGTTGGATAGTGGGGAATGTAGGGTTGGGGAAATAATGGGAATGGACTTAGAGTAGATAACTCCAATAGGAGAGCTTCCATGACACAGGTACTGGATTTTTTTCTGTGCTGTAACATTTCTCGAATAATTTTAGCAGTGAGAGATTTTTACCAATGCAATTGTTTGCATCTGCATCCTACAGATTGATTGAAGAACAGAACGGGACAGAGACAAGCAGGTGAGGAGATAGTACAGTGTTGTACAGAGATTATTCCAATGCAACAACAAGATTATATTTGTATAGCACCTTTCACGTCGAGAGGATGTCCCCAGGCGCTAGACAGTGTACAGCATTTCAGACCTGAGCTGGGGTCAGGGGGGGAGAAGGGAGGGGAGGGGGGTGGCCGATGGCATGGTCGAAGAGGAGGGTCTTGAGGTGGGACTTGAAGGAGGCTAAGGAGGGGGTGAGGCGGAGTGACTGGGGGATTGAATTCCAGAGATTGGGGGCAGAATGGCTGAAGGCTCTCCCGCCAATGGTGGGGCGGGTGGGTCGGGGGACGTTGAGCAGCCAGAGCCGAGGGAACGGGCGGATTGGTAGGGGGTTAGGAGGTCGCAGAGGTAGGGTGGGGCGAGGCCATGGAGGGCTTTGTATGTGAGGACCAGGATCTTGACCTGGATCCTCTGAAGGATAGGGAGCCAATGGAGTTGGTTGAGAGTGGGGGAGATGGGGAGTCTGGTGTGCAATTGTAACCCCAAAACGCTGGCTCGGCTGAGAGGAGATAACTCGTCACAGACCGGGGAGGAATACTAGGACTTTCAAGGCTGTAAGACTCAGTACCACAGTGTTTACCCAGAAAGGGGAAGATGAGAAGATGAGAGAGAAGGTGATGTATGTGGGTATTTTGGAAGGATGTGATGAGATGAAATGGTTAAGCAATTACTCCTCCTGACCAGCAGATGGCGCCAAAACATCCAAGTTTACTGACTTTAATAACAATGTTGAGAATGTCTCAAAACGTACACCAAAGTGTAGTGACTGTGTAGCTTTTTTTAAAAAAAGAGTCTAGAGGACAGAGGAAGTCCAGAGGAGGTATAGAGCTCAGGGGACGTCATAGGTATTTATTTCCAAGCATGTTATTATAATTTTTCTCGTTGCAGACCCACATCTGCTGCAGATGTCCAGGAGCAAAGGTCTGAATTCAGTTTTGTTTTAATCTTGTTCTGCCCCACATGATGCCTAAACCAGGTCATTGTACTCATTCGAGAAACAGCTTGATGCTGTAGTGTGAGGACGGTTGGGTGATTTTTTGGAAGAATGAGATCAAATGGGTTGGAAGTCCCGTTTCTATTGCTTTGTGTCCTCCACCATCATGGGGGAAAGAGGGTTTCAGCCTTACTGCCTGACTCTCTGAAACTCCTTCGCGAAGAACCTCCAAATTGTCCCCTCCCACTCCTTGTTCGAGGCATGTTTGAAAATCTAGCTCTTTCCCCTCCCCACTCCTCTCCCCTCGCCTCCCCTCAACAACAACAAGATTGCATTTATAGAGCGCCTTTCACGTCGGGAGGACGTCCCACGGCGCTGGACAGTTGGGACAGGACCCGAGCATTGGGGGGAAATGGTCAGGGTGAGGGGAGGGAAGGGAGGGAGCGAGGAGGGGGTAGAGAGTCGAGAGGGGAGCTGAAGGCACGGTCAAAGGGAAAGGTCTTGAGACCGGCCTTGAAGGAGGAAAGGGAGGAAGCGGCGAAGGCACTGGGGATAGAGTTCCAGAGCCTCGGGGCTGAGAGGCTGAAGGCCCGGCCAATGATGGTAGGGCGGTTGGGGCGGGGGATGTGGAGCAGACCGGAGCCAGAGGAACGGAGGGTACGGGCAGGTAGGTAGGGGGTTAGTAGGTCGGAGAGGTAGGAGGGAGCGAGGCCGTGAATGGCCTTGTAGGTGAGGATGAGGATCTTGAATTCGAGCGCAGCTCCCCTCCCAGTGCAGGTGCTCAGCCGCTAGTGTCAAGCACTTTGGGATGTCTTCCAGACGTGAAAAAGGCACTAAACAAATTGTATTGAAGGACCTCCTTCATCCGACACATTCTTGTGAAATTAGTTGAAGCAGTGGTACCGCAGGTGCTCTCTCTGACCAGCAGGTGGCGCCAAACCACACAACATAGAGATATTTATTTCCAATCATTTTATTGTAATGATTCATCTCATGAGACATAGAAACATAGAAACAGGAAGAGGCCGTTCAGCCCCTTGAGCCTGTTCCGCCATTCTGTAAAATCATGGCTGATCTGTACTTCAACTCCAATACTCTCCCTTGGCCCATGTCCCTTGATACCCTAACCTAACAAACAGACTCTGAGATGGTTTGAGCTAAATTTGAGATATTATTGCTTTTAAATGTATTTTCTGCCAATGTTATAAAAGTATGAATAAAGGAAATTTAGACGTGTTGGCTGTGAGGGTCCTTGTGTGAGAAGAGTTTGGGGCCAGTCTGAACCCAGTTCTCAGTGGTTGTAGGGCTCACAGCACAGACCTGTTAATCTCGCTCCGAGAGGCCATATGACTGCTGGTGTAAGGGACAGAGAATGTCAGACTGGTGAATTTGGGTTCTGATGTTGGAATGGAGAAACATGAATGTAGAAAGGTCACTTTGGATGAGGTACTAGACACATTGGGAATTATACCCCAGCGAGGGTCAGTGCCTACAGGAGAGGAGGGAGACACATGGATGTACAAAAGAGAGGAAGATCTTTGACAGTACAAATGTAAATAATTTTCTTTCTCTCTTTCTCGTCTCCCAGGAACATGTGAAACTTGACCTCGGGGTCTGAGGTTTGAAGAAAACGTGGGGATTTGGGGTGAATGAAGAATTGGTTCTTTTGAAAGAATGTAAATCAAAGCAACAGTGAAACCCCTCGACTCTCACTCTTCCCATCAAGCCCAGGACTCAGACAGCAGATTCCGTCATGTCCATCCATCCATGGGACTCATTTGTCTATAGTTGGGCCAATTGATTCTGCATTGGGTTTTTATAAACCATCTTCATTGCTTCATGTTACACGTGGTTACACGTTTGCTGCCGAAACAAGGTCTTCGTAGAGGTGGGTCAGTTGCCCATTTTTCCCCTCAATTGTGACTCCTTGTTAGTGCCAGCAACACACCCTCCAGGACTTGACCCAAGTGACCATTCTTCATGTTTAAACTCAACTTGTCAGCCTTGGCAGATCATTCAATCATCTGCAGATCTCGTGTTTGTTTATATGTGTGGTGTGTGTGTGTAAGGAGGGGGTGGGGGGGGGATGGCGAGTCTGATCTAGTCCTCACCCCACACTGACAAACACACTCTCCATCCCACACCCAGTTAGAGCAAGAATGACATCTGATTCTGCTCCTTCCTTGTCTGCCAGGCACCCACTGCCACGCACCCACTGCCCCACCAAATCAGCTGACATGAGACTTTCCTGATAGGTTTTTACCAGCTGGTGCATTTACTCACCAACCCAGCAGAGAAAGCTCTATCACCCATTATCAAAAGTCAAACCCCAACCAACCTCTGGTCTGGCTTTGCTTAGCCAACATAATAGGGAATCTCACCAGTGAGGAAGTGAATTGAGGATTCAGGACACAAATCTGTGATTAACATATACCACAGCATGAGGGTTCGTGGCTATTGATTTAGAATTACATAATCTGGAGCTCATGTCCTCAGGTCCTGGTGTCTGGAGACCAAGACCACCATTATTTGGTCCTGCTCTCTCTCTTACCCCATTTTTCTCATTCGTGTTTTACTGCCCTATTCAGGCACCCATTGCAAATCTTCTCATCCCAAATGGGCTGATTAGCTGTATGTATTGTGCCTCTACTACCACCTTCCTTCCACTGTCTGGATCTTTACTTCATTTTGAGGGTTTGCATTACATCCGAATACAGAAAGAATACAATCCAAAAATCATCGTCCTCCAAGACCTGCTTGAGCTTCATTGCCAAATGCCATTAGTGTACAGTTTGGCCGTCTGGGATAGGCAAGTTGGGTTTTGACTCTGTTTTACATGGTGGAAAGGGAGGGGTGGGAAACGGAGGTTGGTAATGATACACCCTCCTATTAGGGCATTCAGAGAATTGCGTCCATTCCCATCAGAGTTGCTGTTAATTGAAAAATGGAACTCATTTCCACTGCACTGTAGTTCAGTGATGTTGGGGTTATGGCTGCAAACATCACAAGTTGCAGCCAGATCAATCCCTTGATGCCTCCCTGAAATTTTCCACCTCTATGTTTGCAACATGGAACTCAACTCAACATTCCCCAAGTTTTGAAGCTATTTAGGACAACTCTACCTGGTGTAGAATTGGAGATGAGAATGTGAGGTGGTTTGTTACTTGGTTCAATTGGGTTAGTGTTAAGTGTTAACTGTTAGCATCATCAGTTTTCCTGCTGGGCTTTAACAATGAGTTGTTGGTTGGTGTATGGGGCTTGACTGTACTAAGATCACGTCACCTCCCATCTGGTTTCAGTAACAGTTGACGACTGATGGGCAGTGTCAGTGAAGATGGTTGGTTTGAAGGCTGGAAATGTCAGACTGCGTGTGACGCGTTGCTCTTAGAAAATTTGAGATCGAATAAGAAGAAATGTATCTTCTGAAGGGTTCAAGGGTCGTGGCTCTCAAAGTTGGAAATAGCAGGAGAGAAGATGAGAAAAATCAGTAATTAATAGGTGAGGACTAGCTCGGTGTTCGAACAACTGTAGCAGGAAGGGAAGAGCGAGGGAGGTGAGGAATCCTGTAGAGTGTAGGAGGAAGGGAAGAGTGAGGGAGGTAAGAGTCCTGTGGTCTTGAGGTCCTGAGAGTATGTGTTGTTAACATTTCAAACAAAAGGATTGAGGTGAAGTTGCCTCTTTTGATCTTACTATTTTATAGCGAATTTACAATTACAATTTAGTTACATAGTACCTTTCACATCAGGAGGACATCTCAAAGTGCGTAAGATATGTTCCCATCCATTGGAAACACACACAGTACAAATAATTCTTTCAACACAGATAGTCCCTGTGAGATTCAAAACCCGCCAATGAAGTGCCAATGAAATCGTTGGCCAGATGAGATGATCTTCTTTCTGTGCTGAAAATTTCTATGGTTCTATCACCGGATTACTGGAAAAGGTTTTGCCGAGTGGAGGGCAGGACAGATTGGCAGATTGACTGGTCTGATCCTTACCTGGTGTAATCTCAGGTCTCGTATGGAGGAACAAGCACTATTTGTGAGGAAACGCACATGGAGACTTAGAGTCCAATGTATCACATTTAGTTCAATAGTCGCTTGAATGTGCTTCAGTGTTTTTGGTGTAAATTATTCCTGAGCTTTGACAAAATATTTTGACTGCAAGGTTTGAAATCTTTTTGCTTCACAAAGAATTTTTTTATGGGGGAAAAGGGGGTGAGGGGGTGGGGAGAGAAGGTCATAGTTACAGTGAGATCCTTGTCTACATATATTAAGAATGTGCTCCCATTGCCAGTGTGTGAGCAATGCAGTCCCAGTGACGCTTCCACATCTGCAGTGATTGTAAAACGTGTTGAAATTGTGTCTCCAGCATTGTGAGCTGAACAGTGCCATCGCTGAATATCTTCTGCTTCAACCTGTTTCACTTTGTGAGTAGAAATCTCTGCCAAATGCCTCTGGTGTCCCAGGGGTCTGGTGGAACAATGTTAACGGAGATAAAAACAGAAGTCTCTGGGAATAAGCAGCAGGTCAGGCAGCATCTAGGGCGAGAGGAAGGTGAGTTATCATCAGTTCTGACCAAAAATCATCGACCTGAACCGTTAATTCATTTTCCTCTCTCCATAGATGCTGCCTGACCTGCTCCAATTTCCTAACGATGTCTGTTTTTATTTCAGATTTCCAGCATCTGCAGTAATTTTGCCTAATGATAACGGAGAGTTTCTTTGTACTCTGTACTCCTGTGCCCCTCTCCCTCTCTCTCCACCTTCTCTTCCCCCACCCACTCTCATTCATTCAGTGTACAATCCGCTCCAATAAACTTTTACGTCCGATGTCGTCACAACTGATTTTTGATCAGCTTCACACTCACTGAAATTGATCGACTGTTTCGACAATTTGCCTTGATGAAAAAAAATGCTCTGTAATACCGTCAGTGTGATTAGTGCAACAGCAGAGTGTGTGGGTGGGGGGAGAGGCTGACGTGAACAGTGGGTTGGGCAGTTGGGGGGGGGAGGGAGGTAAGAAACACTGGGAAGACACTGTCCATCCCAGACTAGATTTACTCTATTTATTGCATTTTGGAACATCCACAAATTGCCAAGTCATTAAAACCAGCCCTGACTTTGAGGGCGTTTTTCAGCAGTTCTTACCAGTGGGGGGTGGGGGGTTGTGGAGGGACGAGGTGGGGGGTAGGGGGAGAGCAAGTTCACTGTCTCCAAGATAATGGAATGTCAAAATTCAGTCAAGAAACCCTCAATGGCGGTCTCCGTATTCTGGTTCCTGAGCCAGTCAGGTCCACAGTATTTCAGGGCACTGCTGATGACAGATCAGCCCAGCCAGGCTCATCGTCAGGACTTTGATTGGGAGACAGCTCACTGGGTTCTTCATACTCAGATATTGCAAGTCAAAGCCCTAACAGGTAGGCTGGTCCTAGCTGGAAAGCAATGGGAAGCTTGCCTCAGTGCTCTCAGAAACAAGCTCTGTGGTTGTAGCTGGTTAACTCCAGCAGTTACCCCCAACCCACATTCGGAGGTCCCCTAAGCTTTAGCTCTTCCTAACCTCATCCAATACTCTCTGGAATTAGGTAAGGAGGTTGCGTCCCTCTGGAGAGAGAATGTGTGTGCCATTCCCGACGCTGTGACATTTCCATGTGTAGGCTGATCACTACACATGTTGTTTATGCTCTGTTTGGTTTGGACGATCCTAAGCACAGTAATGTGTTTCTGTGTCAGACGCACACCCAGCTGTCCTTCCTGTCTGTGCCAATAAGATATTGCAGGATGGTATTGATGAATTACTGTCATTCAAGACAGTTGGTTACTCTGTCTGAGACTCTGGACCACATCCGAGTCTCCACTACACCTCTGGCTATCCTCCCAGTCACTCTCCTCCACAACTCCCTCTCTGTCATCCTTGATACACTGGCCACCGTCACATCCTGCACTGCCTTTTACTCTTGCAAGACCCCCTGAGCACCAGCCACATGCGCGCCCCCAATTTACAGGATTTGTGCCAGGTTCTGCCTTCAGCCCCCACCTCCTGGAACGCCATGAACCGCCTTGACCCCTCCCTTGCCTCCTTCAAGGCCTGTCTCAAGACCTTCCCCTTTGACCTTGCCTCCCACCCCGGGCTACCCTCCACCCATCTTGATTCCAAACCCCAGCTCGGGTGCAGATCCTTAACTTTGGGATCCTTCCAACGTGAAAGGCACTGTATAAATGTGACTTCTTGTTGTTGCTGTTGGTGGGTGACTCAATCTGATAATAGGGATAGATCCTGGATTTTTATTCCTTTACAAGCTCCATCTGCAAATGGTGCAATTGCTTTATTGCCTTTAATAGACGGCTAGGCACATGCAAAATGTATACTTTAATTATCTGAAAAGCATCAAAAGGCGGATTGCACATCTGGGGAGTGTGACCCTTGAAGTCCCGGATCCGTGTTGATGTTTAGGGTCAGTGAGAGTGTTATTCTGTCATCACATTCAACAGTAGAGACGGGGATTGTATGGTTAAGGTGCAGCATAGAGGAGCGCTAACTACTCTGACCAAGATCTCAGATCAACTGACCTCCTCCCCCACCCACACCAAGTTCTAGGTAATGCACTGGAGGCAGGGAATGCAAGTCACTGGGAACACTCAGCAGGTCAGGCAGCATCTACAGAGAAAGGAAAGTGAGTTAATGTTTCAGGTCAGACCCTAACCCTAATAGATGCTGCCTGACCTGCTGAGTGTTCCCAGCGACTGCTGTTTTTATTTCAGATTTCCAGCATCTGCGGTATTTTGCCTTTTGGCTGGTTATGTAAGTTGATTTTCCTAACTTTGCTACCTTTCTGGGCTGAATTTCTGGACAAGTTTCTGCAAGTTTCCTGACCCTGAAATCTTCAGGAGCAATAAACCGAAGGCTTAAAGGTCACAGGTGAATGCCACATCAAATAGACATAACTCTCCTACAGGGATCAGTCAGTGAAATCCCAATTTCAGTGTCGGGGCCCTCTCTTTAAACCTATAAGTTTAGTCTAACGTGGCAATGCTGAGAAGTTTGAGGCTTTTGGAATAAGTTGACTTATTTTTCAAGTTTTTCTGGTCAGCCGGGTGTCTGATACATGTAGAAATCCATCTTAACCCATGCTTAAGAGTCTCCAAACCAAATTCCATGCATCCCACCTATGCATGGAAATCTCAGAGATAGATTGTTGGAATGGAATGCGCACTCTATCCCTGGAGGGATTCATCCTGCTTACCTAATTCCAGAAAGTATTAGGCGGAGGTTGGCAGGAGCCAAGGCTAGCACGCATAGCTAAAGCCACTGGCGGCCAGAGCTCTGTGACGCAGGTAATGGTCCAGACACTCCAGCACCATGGCGTCTACATTTGTGTCAAACTTGTTAGCAAAGAAGTGAGGCTGCTGTAGCATCCAGTTCAGGTCACCAGCACCGTATATACAGACAGCCCTACGATGGATGCCAGCACACAGTGGGTAGGCCTTGCCACGGGCCAAATCTCCCTCAAAGTATTTCCACTTCACCAGCCTGGCCACCGACTTCATATCATTCGTGTCATACTTGCGATGCCTGGGCATGGAGCCGGGCACCCCCGGTAACCTCTGCAGTGTGGCCCAGAGGAACTCGTCAGGGCTGTACGTGTCCTTCGCCCACTCCCTCAGGACTTGCACCTCTGGGTCCTTGAAGACATGCTCCACAAAGCGCCGACTGACCACTATGTAGGCGTTGCCACTGAAGATGTTGGTCACGCCAGTCAATAGATTCTTGGTAACATTGCTCTTCTTCAACTTCCCGTTAATGATATTGAAATGGAATTTCCACCGCACCCGTTTGGCCTTGGGGGCCTGCTCGGTCTCAAGGCTATTTTGCCCTCGTAGCAGCTTGAGCTGTTGGACGATCTCGAGGTTGGTTTTGATGGGGAAGTCCATGCCGCAGAGATTGATGAAGTATTTCCAGCTCCGGTGTCTGGCCAGCAATTCCTCCATGCAGTTCAGGTCTGCCTGCACCCTGGCCCAGGAGGCGTAGACAACATTCTCCTGTTTCCTGGCGACAAATACGTTGGGGAAGCAGGCGGCCACACTCCTGACGGCAGCTTTGAAATCATGCGAGGATTTATTGTCGATGTGGACGCAGTAGATATTCTGCGGCGCGTAGATGGCTCTGAGCAGCCTTTCAAAGTGATCGGATCTTTGATGGATGACCATGGAATAAGCAATTGGGAATTCCTCCTCTTCTCTGCTCAGTGAGAACGTGATGTACTTTCTGGTCCTTATAAATGTCTGGCACTGCTGCAGGGAGCTGACATAATAGGAGTCGGAGGAGATTTTACTCTGATTGGAACTCTGTAGGAACTGACCCTGCAGTGTGCCATTGAAGTCCCTTTTGATCATTGCTGTGCAGTTTACATTGTAAATTGGGTCTGGATGCAACTCCAGCTTTGAGTACTTGTTGGGGTTGAACACAGCTCGGCTGATGCCTGAGGTACCATGGAACGTTTCGCCCGGCAACCGATTCCCCTCATTGCAGGACACAAGCCCCAACTGAAGCTTGATCATTATTAAGAAAGCCAAAGCCAGGGCAAAGATCAAGAACAGAGGAAACACACAGCGTTTCAGTTTCCGGATCATTTTAACACTTAATAAAAAAATTCTGGAAGATTCAGACCAATTCCTGTTTCTTCAATGTCCACTGCTTTGAGAAAGTCCATCACTGAGAAGATTTTGTTCAGTCAAAGCACCCGATTTATGCCCTCAAAAAACAATCTGAAATGAGACAAGATTGTAAATGAAGCACATTTGAAATCATAATAATACTTTTGATACGGAACCATTCACATCAGGAGGACATCTCAAAGCGCTTCACAGGATTTATTGTAAAGTGTAGTGACTGTATTTGTAGGTGAATGAGGCAGCTAATTGAAAAATAATAATGATAAATGATTTTTAATTAGGAGATTGTCAGCCAGGGCAGTGTGATAAACTCCCTTTTCATTTTGTATCGTGCCATGGGGTGTTTAACATCCCCCTGAACAACCAGGACGGGTCTCACAGATCATATTGTAAAGTGGATTTTGTGTATTTTGTGTATTATAAACCCGGGTGGAATCTCTCTAAGTATTTGAGTTGTTAAATTGTGTGTAAGAAAGGGAGTGATGCCCTGCAGCAATGGAATACAAACAAGACTAAATTCTGTATAACACAGGATACTCTTGCTTCGTGCTAATGTGATACTATTTTCACACAGAAACGATCCAGACTTTCGAACTGAGAAAACAATTCAGACAATCAGGAGTTATGGAAATCAGAAGTTAACAGATAAAAAGGATTTTCAGCTCCGCTCAGTGGGCTCTGACCTGCTTCATGTCCACTGCCTTTCTCACCCCACTGTTGGCGGACGGGCCTTCCGCCACTCTGCCCTCATCCTCTGGAACTCCATCCCACAGTCCCTCCGCCTCGCCCCCTCCCTCGCCACCTTCAAGACCCACCTCAAGACCCTTCTCTTCGTGGAGTCCTGTAGCTCAGTGATTAGAGCACTCGCTTTGCAAGTGAGAGACCTGAGTTCAATTCCAGGCAGAGGGCGAAACCTTGGGCAAGTTTCCTTACTCCACACAGAGCCTAATAATAATCCCTCCAAAACAAAAACAATAATAAATTGGTCATTTTCAATCCACGACTGTTTGTGGGACATTGCTGTGCGCAATTGGCTGCCGCGTTCGCCCACAAATATACAGTCAATTCACTTTACAGTATATTCTGTGAAGCGCTTTGGGACGTCCTCCCGACGTGAAAAGCGCTATATCAAATGCAAGGATTATTATTATTATTATTCAACCATGTTTCGATCTCCCTGCTTCCCCCCCCTGCCCTCCACCCGCCCCCACCCCAACCCCCAACTCGGGTCCGAAACTCTGTCTGTCCAGCGCCTTGTGACGTCCTCCCGACGTGACAGGCGCTATATAAATGTAATTTTGTTGTTGTTGTTTTGGAACTTTGACATGATAAAAGAGCATTCAAAATTAACAGGTATTAAAGCCTCAAAGTTTAAGGTTATCTCTGCAGAGAGTAAGTAGGAACTCTAGCAGTAAGTAGGAACCCGTTTGTTAGTTGATTGGCCTTCCAGGAGTAATAATTTCTTTAAAAAATATTAATAATAATTTGGTCACTCAATCCACAACTGTTTGTGGGACACTGCTGTGTGCAATTGGCTGCCTTGTTTCTCCCACAAAATATACAGTCAATTCACTTTAGAGTATATTCTGTGAAGCGCTTTGAAACGTCTCAAAAATGTGATAAGGCGCTGTATATCAAATGCAACGATTATTATTATCTATTATAGAATAGTGAAATTAATGCAGCAATAGACCCGTCACTGGAGGTGTAAGTTAACTTTGCTCCCTCTTGCTCACAACCTCCAATAAATGGGGAACTTTCAACNAAAAAGGGGAGATTAATATTGATAGAGGGCGTTAATATTCTGACAACTCTTCCATTTCTCTCTAAGTTTGTTAATGATGCTTTCTGACATTCAGTGGGGAAAAAAAACTACCCTTTTCTGCACAGGAATCTTGTTTCACCCTTTATAAAATCCAATACTCCTGGTACGTCCTCATTAAAAGGGTTGAAAACTTTCCGCTGCTTTCACTCTATTCCCATCACTGCTGTCAGCGTTCCTTTAGTCAATGAAAGACCCACAGGTGCTATACCTGCCGAGAAGCTCTGCCTCCGCTCAGTACCCGGCAACCGTCTGACTGGCTGCCTGTGATGTCAATCATCATATGTGATTTAAATATGTGTATGTATGTGTGTGTGTGAGTGTATGTGAGTGTTTGAGTATGTGTATGTATGTGTGTGTGAGTATATGTGAGTGTTTGAGTATGTGTATGTATGTGTGAGTGTGTGTGAGTGTATGTGAGTGTTTGAGTATGTGTATGTATGTGTGAGTGTGTGTGAGTGTATGTGAGTGTTTGAGTATGTGTATGTATGTGTGAGTGTGTTTGAGTGTATGTAGGAGGAAGGGTGTGTAATGATCTGTACTAATTAATGTGTGTAAAGTGGGTTGATATCTGATTCCTGCCCAAGGGGGAAAGTCTCAGTGATTATGGTTTGTGCTTGATTTCACTTGTTTTCCCAATGGAGTTGGAAGACCTTATTTTATTTAAGAAGAATAAATAATCCTTGCATTTGATTAGGTCATTGCGAGGACATTGAATAAGGAGTGCTCTGTAGATGTTGAAGTACCTGCCAAAAAGGTGCGATGTCCTGGGACAATGTCTTGGGCACCCGATAACAACAACAAGATTACATTTGTACAGTGCCTTTCACGTCGGGAGGACATACCAAAGTGCTGATAAAAGATAAAAGTTTCTATAAAAATAAAATAAAAGGAATAATAATAATCTTTGCATTTGATGCAACGCCTTGCCACGTTGAGACATCTCAAAGCGTTTCACAGAATATATCATAAAGTGGACTGTGAACATTATGGGTGAAACTTAGCAGCTAATTGTGCACAGCAATTAAACAAACAGTTGTCGATTGAGTAACCAAATTATTCTTATTTATTTGATTTTAAAGGGATAATTACACCCGATAAGCAACCTGCCAGGTTTAAGCGGGTTCCTACTTACTGCTAGAAAAACAGAAGCGTGTGGAGTAAGGAAACTTGTCTAAGGTTTCGTCCTGCCTGGGAATCGAACATGGGTCCTCTTGCTTGCGAGGTGAGCGCACTAACCATTATGCTACAGAAATCAAGAAGCAGTTAACCCTAAGAAATAATTATTAAAATAATACATTTCTTAAAAATGTATTTGTTCCCCTCCATTCACCTGACAATCTGGGGTTTGTTCCTAGTTGCCCAGACGCTACACCACATGAAGGGCAATATAAGTTGTTGTTGAATATCAAATGCAAGGATTATAATGTTATTAATTTATTATATGTTTCCTGGCTTGGAATTGTCAGTGAATGCAACTTGCTCCGGTGGATGCCACCTGGAAAAAAGATTTCCCTGTCAATCAGCCAGCGAATCCCATTGGAAAAGACAGCATTGATGTTCCCACCTTCTGGAAAATCCTGGTCATAAGTTTCATGAAGCGTGACTGAACATGCAGAGACTGAAACATGTGATATCATTAAATTAGTATTGTCTGATCAGCGTCATATGCATCGAGCCTTACTTTTAGATTGCACCTAAATGCCATTACCCTCCACCCATGAGCCACGAGACCATGATGCTTAAAGGACATCTTCCCCGCCAGGTTCCCTCCCCTCTCATAAATAATGCCGCTCATCGTTGTGCGAACAGATATTTTACATTCTCGCTGGGTTCCTTGTTGCTAAATTAAAAAACAACTTTTTGATTTAAACACGCATCGATCCAGTTAACCTTTGTTATGTTTCGGCTAAAAATAAGCCTTGTCAGGCCTCACTGACTGAGGCTATGTGTATGTGTGCATGTGTGTCCGCCCACAAGTATATTGAGGAAAGTGATGTTCATTGACTACTTTCAGCTCCTCTGCCCCCGCTCTCTGGAGCTCCATGCCACAGACTCGCCACCTCACCCCCTGGAGTCCCTCTTCCCTCCTCCTCCTTCCTTGGCTCCCCTGCCTGCAACTTGCTCCCAGTCAGCTGTGTGAAGCTCTTTGAGATGTCCTTTCAATGTGGAAAGTTTAAACATAAGTTTAGGGTCCTGTATCTCAGTGGGTAGAGCACTCACCTCACCAGCGAGAGGACATGGATTCGATTACCAAGTAAGACAAAACACTGGGCAAGTTTCCTTATTCCACAGGCCTCTGTTCACCTATGTAGGAACCCAGTTGTTAGTTGATTTGCGGATCGCTTTTCCAGGGTAATAATCCATTCAAAAAATATAATTACAAAATTTGATCACTCAATCTGTGACTGTTTGTTGGACACTGCTGTGTGCAATTGGCTGCTGCGTTTAGGCCACAAAATATTTATGTTTTCAGTCAATTCACTTTACAGTATATTCTGTGAAGCATTTTGAGACGTCTCCAAAACATAACAGGGCGCTATATCAAATGCAAGGATTATTATGATTACTATTAATACAATACAAATTTCCATGTAAAATTGTATTGCTACAATAGCTCCTGGTAGCTTGGATGCCCAGGACATCATGTCTTTAGCAGGTACCTTAAACTAGTGGCTGAACATCTACATCCAATTCCTTTTTTAATGACTTTGCCATGAAGACCTCACTACACCCAAAGGCCATGACATTATCACGTGCTGGGCTCGAAACTCACTCAGGCCAACGGTACTTGAGTAAAGTTTGCTGGAACATTGGCTTGTTTTGTTTTGTTTTGTCGCAAATAATATTTTTTGGTGTTAGCCTACGTCAGGATCAAAATCTGATGGTCGGAGCCTCAGCAGCTTGCAGAAAGAAGGAAGCTGTGGCTCTAATTGAAGAAGAAGCAGGTGACAACAACGACAACAAAAATAACTTATATAGCTCCATCATGCGGGGTAATATTCTGGAGCGCTTCTGGGATAATTGGTGCCTAGACCCGATGGCCTTATTTATATATACTCTGGTATCATGAGAAATGGTAGCAATGACATAAATTGGAGAGACAGAAAGCAGCTCAAACTGTGGTGGAGAAGTGCCTTTGACCTCATGGAACATCACACGGGTCATTATTGGAACCACTGGTAACATGAGTTATGATTAACCTATATAAACACTGGTTTGGCCTCAGTTAGAATACTGCGCCCAGTTCTGGGCACCGCACTATAGGAAG